TAGCTAAGGATTCGCTTCGAATCAGTCAAGAAAGTGCTGCTAGTAAAATACTCGCTGTACTGTCATATTTCCCACATTCAACTAGCTTCTACATGTTCACGTTAACTGGCAGCATATTTCGAAAAGAGTTTGTGAGAGTTGTAGGACCGTGTTTATTTCGAAAGCGAAATCGTGTACAAATTACCACTGTTCAAATTAATCGTGGTACATCTTGGTAATTAATTAAATATTGTGTTTGACAGTAGTTTAAATGATTTAGTCCTATGCAATGTCGTTTCTAAATAAATATTTCTTTTTAAGTGTACTTATACCTTGATGAAGTGGATAACAAAAGGCCAGCCTTTACTAGCAATATCAAAACTACGTAGTTGTTATTAGAACGAATATCATCTGTTAGGGGTCTTTATTTGCGACGATTTCTTCTATAATTATATCTTTAATTATTTCTCTTTTATTCCCAAAGAACATCGTGCGTCGTACGGTAATATGTTTTTACGGGCCATAAAGTTGGGAATCGAAATATATAAATGGAGGTTTTTTTCTTTATAATATGACACTTAAATAGTATTTTCGAGTACATTTTTTTCGAAGAGCATCCAGAGTACAGATTTAAAAATATATTAATCCGCATCAATAGGCGGTAAATCATGGTGAAAATGAATAGTTTGCTTCTTAAGATAAAATTTATTCAGTAAAAAAAGAAAATGTTAATTTGTATTATATGCGTATATAAATTGAAATAGAACGAACCTGATTGCCATCATTCAAGGATGGCTTTCAATGGAACTCTACTCTTTGCAGTTACTTTATTTTGCTTATTAATACTTCTTAATACCGGTAGGATATTAAATTAGAAGAAGACAAAGATCTGACACATTTCGTTCAAACTGCCTTATAGGTGTAGAAGGTTCGTGCAGTGCATGGTCACCGGAGTTCGGACGAATTGCTAATGGCCAATGTCGTGCATTATGTTTTGCTCATGAACGAAACGCTGGAAGATTATCATGCGGGACAAAATGGTGTTGCCTCTCACGTATTTAAACGAACGCTTATTCACATTTTTTAACTAATTATAATAAACACGCTACAAATGTCATGTCATCGATCGAATGACACTTGGTCGATAGATAATGTTATTGCTCTTTTCATTTTCTCATGATAATATCTGTAATGCTGTTTTTCAATAGGTAGTTCTTTATATTGTATTCGAGGCATTTCGAAAGAAAAAGCCTCGCAATATGCATGTTTACCACTTGGAAAAAGTCAGGTGCTTATGAGTAATATTTAAAAAATATCACGTTATTATTTACATTTCATTTGAAGCGTTCTGTCATGTTTTCGCTTGGGGTAGAAAATTACTTATTTAAACGAAAACTGAATCACTAGGCACTATATATATAAAGTATAAAATTTGCTGTATTCTATGTTGGAAAGTCGCATTTATTTTGTGTCTATCTATCAAACTAAACTATATTGTTCATTTTTTGTTATTTTAAGACAGAGACTAGTTATGATGCTTCATAATAACGATCAATCTCAAAATGATAATCGCATACAAGCTAAACGACGCCCTTTTCGCCTCATGAGAACATTGGTTCTTCCAAATCAACATTTAGCGTCCTTTGTGGATCTGCGGCAATGGATGTCACCTATTGATGAACAGGGACACATGCAAACTTGGTATACCGTTACTCATTCATCAGTATCATTCAGTTCTTTCTCTGCTTATTTGATTTTAGTGCCGCGGTAGCGTTTGCAGGAGTTTGTGATTATCTATTCAAACGGTTCATGAACAATCCTGTCAAAGTCTCTCGTTTATTTATTTATTATAACGCTCAAATGATTGAACAAAAATCACGCGAAGTTGACGACAACGGAGTTCTTCCAATGAATACTGCTTTAGGTTTAAGAAAATATGGAGTTTGTGAAGAAAGCTATTGGCCATACCAAAACCATTTATTAAATCAAATGCCATCAGATTCAGCATATAAACGCGCAAGCCGTTACACAGTCGTTCCAGTTCATACGACAATTGATATAAATGCTATTGAAGTATGTCTGCATAATCAATTGCCAGTTTTGGTTGGCATTAGGTTGGCTGATGAATCAATTCGTGAAGTGGAACGTAATGGCGGTTATTTACGAGTTCCAGATTTGAATGGTTCAACGATTAGTAGCGTCCATCTGCATGGTATTGTGATTGTCGGATATGATAGAAGTGCGCAATACTTCATTTGTAGAAATTCATGGGGTAGACGATGGGTAAGAGAATGAAACTATTCCTTTGTTTCTTCATTTCAATTTCTTTTAGGGATATCGAGGTTACTTCTACATGCCATATGAATACCTAACTCGTCCTTCTCTGGTTGATGATGTAGGTGGTATTTGGTCAATTTTGAAAATCCTACCTCGCACAAACACATTACCGACTGTTCGTCGATTACTGTTATCTTGAACTAAACAGCATTATAGTTCCATTAACACTTTCAGTTTTTTGCCTAAAATAAATCATACTATAAGCATGAGTTGTCATAATACGACAGGATATTTCAGTGAGAAAGGGAATATGGAAATACTTCTTCTTTTTCCTCATGTGTATTGAATGTGTTTTCTTACGAAAGTGACACTATTTTTCATGAGTTAGATTTATCATGAATAATCAACTAAGTTTGGCAAAGATTCAAATAACATAGTCACCGATGATAAATGTTGGAATCAACTTTTCCCATTTGAGTTTTACTATAAGTCGAATAACATATGAAGAGCACAAATGTCATTAAAGCTATTCCATTTAAAAGCGCAAATATAAACACATTCCATTCTATACAGAGGCTCTTCTTTTACAAAAAATGTACTTGTTGTCGAAAGAATACTATCTCAATTTGAATTTATTTGCGAAATCGAACGAACGAGAAACTCCTCAACAAATTTATGGAATATTATTGGCACCCAAATTTACATTCTGTTGACCATACTGAATCTTTGTTTTGTCGGTGTTACTTTATCGTTATTAGAATAGCCGGCAGTTACTCTTATCTGATTCGTGCTCTCATATTTCAATTCCATATGATCGATTTATGTCGCTCGAAACAAGTTTTCATCAGACTGGGACAAGTGGTTTTATAAGTAATCGATGAATCGAAACAATTCAATCTGGCGTAAATTCAGTCCTTTTCGCTATGCGAGATATTCGACGAATTGGTAGTGTGCAATTTCAAACACCACTGCCCTTTGACTTTTATCAGAATCAAATACTAGTCAGGATGTTTCTATCTTCACTCAAAATGAATTGACGAGCCCACAAGCACTGTCGGAAGACCCAGCTTCGCTCGCGCGATTTATTTGGATTATACGGTGGTTTGGTGACTGTGTGCCGGCTGGCTGCTCTATTTATAGTTAAAAACTTTTTTAATAGAAATCGAACAGCCCAGACGAATACCGAGTATCTTGCTGATTAGGACTTATAATTAGTGCCGTGCTGTAGTTGACACGTGGAGCTGACATTATTTTAACTTGTAATTCGAAGAATATATGCCAAAACGCGATCACAACTTCTGAAAACACTCATATCGATCAATTATATTGAATCGGGGGAAATTCTGGTTACGTGTCAGTTTGTTTGATGTCTTGGGTGAGAATCTGGATATTTGCAAAACAAGCCTGTGTGCTTGTAGCATAAAACTGGAGTGTTCTATACGTTGCCTTCTAATTCTGTGAAAAGGCTGTTCTCTCACATGCATCCTTAAGTATGCATTCAAATGTCTCCTTTTTTAAATTCTTCCAACAATAACAAATAATCGAGATGTTTGGATTCTGCTAACGTCGCAAACATTTTGTTAAAATCAGAGTGAGAGAGAGAGAATTCTGTCAATCCTCTTCTTTGTTTTAGTAGAGTAAATAACGGCAGTCTTTCTACATTCTACATCACAAAAATCATTTAGATCTCTTTAAATATGTACATACATATAGTTTATGAATCGAACCTACTTCCTACATATTCTGGACAATGAACAGTATGTGATAGCATTCAAATACAAAAAACTAACAGAAATCGATCCTGAAATGGAACTAGTTTCCAAGCGTTCAACATTTTGAAGTAGGAAGAGTACTGTATACTTTCATACTGAATTTGTTTCAGATAAGATAAAACTGTCTAACTGGAAAAAACATGGCCTCGAGACGAAATCGTGATGTCATTGATCGTATTCGTCGTATGGAGCGTGGTCATCTTTCAGAAGAACCACCACCGAGGGAATCCACAACACATGGTATGTATTATTCTAGATTATAAAGCAGAGAGTGGTTATGATACGATGTTGCAGATGAACCCCGATGGGATACGTAACTAAATCTGAATAAATACTGTAGCAATACTTCAATTTTGACAGTAATGTTGGTTACGCTTCGCAGTGTCTTACAACCTGCAAAGTTTCCAACGTAGATGCTTCTTCAATGCCATCTAGCACGCTTGTAACGACTAGTATATATCTTTTCCCATAGTCTGTCTATTATCTGAGAGCCGAGCCGTGCGAATGCCTATGGGTCTACGAGAATATTGACATAGGACATCTTTGAGCAGGATTCGCAAAGATAATTTACGCTCATTTTGTTTAGAACAAAAGAAATATTCAATATCGCAGTTGATATCATATGAGTCTGTGCCAGAGGCAACGAAAGAATTCTTCGATGAATGCAAAGAATATTATCATCTTACACAAAAGCCGTTGATATCGGCTCCTGACGAAATATTTCGTAATGAAAGCGAATGTACATCATCTACAATGACGATAGGTGTCGATAGAGAACCGGAGGAACTCGATTTGGATGGATTTGTCGAAAGTATTCAACGCATTTGTAATTTCAAAGATGGTCAAATTCAACCAGTATCTATCAAAGTGAAGCCACTACGAGTTGAACTCAAGTTAAACCAACGAGACCAATCCTTTGCGATGCCGACAGTCAAAATAGTTTATTCAAAATTGACCGATGAAACTTTAAAGGAATTTTACAAGATGCGTATATTTCTTCTTATTTTGGGATCATGCAGGTCGCTGGAGAAGCAGCAAGAAGGTCGTAAAAAACTGATGATGGATGCTCGATATAACCGTACCTACGGACCAAATCACACTTTTTGGAAAGGACCACTTGATGATGGAAGGGACCGCGGAAGTAAACCGTACTATTGCCCTGTTGGGTGGAAAAGATATTCGTTTTTTGTTCCAGTCGATTTCAACACGAAATTTAAAGGTTGGTGCATTTGTTACCACGGTACTCAATTCCAGCATGGATTATCTATTTTACTAAGTGGGCTGATGCCTGCGAAAGATGTCGCTCATGGCCCTGGTATTTATACTAGTCCATCGATCATTTATACAAGTCATCCAAGATATGCAGAAGTTAAATATATCGATTCGAAAACTAAATTAGGTTTTCTCAAATCTAAGCATTATATTCAGTTCGTATTGGAATGTCGTGTACATCCAAAAGACATTAAAGTAGCGTGTGAAACTCTACTTTTGGGAGACGCTCAGGTTGATACTAACATAGATAACTCGGCAATTGAATGGGTGGTTAATAATTATGGAAAAAAATTGGTGGATTTTAATGATCCAGAAGCCTCTATCGTTTGTACGGGTGTCATGGTTCGTATAACTGATAGACATCCGGCCTTGTTGCCGGAATCTGGTTGGTGGTTTAAAGCAGGCGTACGAAATAGCAGCGATGGATGGAAAGAGTTTTACCAAACACTCGAATCCTTTGAGACCCAGAGACAAACTGGAGTGGCTTGCAGCATAATACTTGAATAAGCCAAAAGTACACATGCACCATTGAACTACAGACACTTTTCCAGGAAAACACGTAGTTCCATCAGAAACAAATAACTACATTTATTATCAAATAATGCTAAAACGAGATAATTATGTGTGTTTGCTCTAGAAACATTCATGTGCTGTTCGAAAAAGGCGATTGATCTTAAACTGCAAAGGATAGATTGTCTTCTTTAAATTCAAGAAGTAAGGCAGAATGTTAGTAAACCATCTGCCTCTCCGGAGAAATCTTCAAGCATAGTATGGATTTTCGCTCAAGAGCGATTACGTCTTAGCTGATATAATTTGGTCGACATAGTTCATATTCATCTCATCTTTTTCTTATTCATGTTGGATAAGTTACTATCTCTGACGTCATCCGGATTTAACGAAGGTAAAAAGGAAAACGTTGCACGTTATTTAATAAAACACATCAAATGCATAAACAACCGTAAGGTTACGAGATTCATGATAGCAAGGATCGAATGCAACAAATAACGACGAATGTTCTCTCTACTACAGTATATTAAATTTTTATTTAATGAAACAAACTTGAATGAACAGGCGTCTGAGTTCCAGAAAATTTTCTCGCAACAACTGATCCATCTGGCATATGCACGCGGATCGACCATGATTGAATCGCTTTCATCAGATCGACACCACTTGAAGATAGGGTCCAGCGAACGATTTGACCGGCAGAAACTGGAATAGGTGGATAAATAGGAAAACTAGTTCGTCCCCAATGTGTAGCTGGCTTATCAGGTGCATTTGATAAGACTGTCTGATTACCCATATCACATTGAAACCAGGCAGCAATACAAGACAAGCTACCGTCTTTGATTATGCGACTTTCACCAGAAAAAGAAAAGTCTGCATCGATTTTGTTGGCACTTTTCATAATTAATTCGTATAACTCTTCTTCTTTACTGAGAAGTTGGTCCGGTAAGACCGAATGACGTGCATTGAGAACAGTATTGCCATGAAACTCACCCATCATATCTAAATCTAGATCATACGGTTTCGAATACCAAAACGATAGAATGGTTGTCAATGAAGGATCATCTGCTAACGCTGCATAGCCTTTCGCAGTCGCTGGAATCATAATTCCATTAGGTTTTAAAACATTATTCCGAGTTGCTAATAATGGTGGCACAAAATTTTCGTCAACACCTAGTCCACCCATCCATTCAGATACTAAAACATCTGCTTTTTCCGGCAATTGTACAGTCGATCCATCTTGTTTGATAACCGTGATGATATGATCTAGTTTATTCCTTTTGATCATTTCAACTAAATAAAAGTCAGCGAAATCAAAATAAATTTCATCGGAAAGAAAAATCTTTACCAGCAACATCGGCCATATCGGTAATTTCAAGTGCATAAACTTTTTTCGCACCAGCTTTAGCTGCAAACATGGAAAGAATTCCTGTTCCTGCACCAAAATCAACAACGACGTCGCCTTGTTTAACTTGGTCCAATATCGCTCGACGATACGAATTCGTTCGGATTTGATCGAACAACATTTCACGTTGAATCCAGAACGACGCATAAGTATCAACACGAAGATTTTTCGCTTGAATCGTGTTCGATGGAGCCGACAATCGAATCAACAGATTCGATTTCGCTGATATTTCACATGTTGAAGTATTTTCTATTGAATTCATTTTCCTCGGAACCTAAAATCAATTGAAGTTGTTCGTCTCGTGCTAGGTGCGTTTACTTAACAAAAAAGAGAAAAACAAGTGATTGATTAAAAATACACATAGTACAAAAGAGAAAGAAAAGGAAAATGTTTCTTCATAACGATAGATATGCACTCACTACAAAATAGATATAGAGTACATTCAGAGTATGTGCAAATGCAGTAAATGAAGACAAATCGTATTAGCGTATGCGTTTCATATACAATTCGTTTAACATTGGAGTGACAGTGTGCGTGCATTTTGACAGAATCATTACGATTTGTTTTCTGATTTTGATACGTAAACTTGGAAATTGACAGAGAGATGCGAATAGAAAGAGAAAGATAGTCAAATAACTGAGAAAATAGAAATACAATTGAATTTAAACGCCAGCATTTGGTGGTAAGTCCAAAAGACGTGTCAATGGAGTTGTGAACATTCGAAACTTGACCAAAATATTCAAGTTTGAAATGAAAAACAACTGAAACGTCATTCGCCATTGTTTATGCCAATGAGCCGATCGACTGAGACGACAGTTTTGTAACTGAGCACGTGTCATCAGAGCAACGCTAACGATGCCTCCTAGAAGAACTGGCAGAATCGTATGCGCAATAAATTCGCACATGCCAATAATACCGGGAGTTTGACAACGAGGCGACGCACCACATACAGGTACGAAATAATTGTATGCATTCTCGCATGGTAAAATAAAAATAACGATCAGATAGAAAAAAAAGAGACGTATGCGATTAAAACAGTTAATGATAGATAACGAAAAAGGAATTGTTTTCGTCTCGTTGAAGCTAGACGATCGTGAAATATGAGGATATGCCGTTCAAGTACTATAACCATGTCATGAGAAGAATTCTTCCAACATAGAAACCGTAATCATATAAATACCAAAGAAGGCAAACGATCGGTGACGACAGTTGAGCTGAATCGTAGCGAAAGAAAATCAGATAAAAATCTACAATCAGTAGTCGGATAGGTAAACTAAATATGAGTATAAGAAGAATGGTGTGATTTTGTTACGCTTGTCGTTGAATAGGAAACGTTAATATGTCAATAATGAGACAAAAACTACAGATTGTTGATGGCGTATCAAATAGAAGCATTAATCAGAATCGAACTGAACGTAGTATAGAGGAAGCAATGTACTTTGCTCGGTTAAGGCCAAACGACTACCTTAACCAATCTAATGATTTCGTATTGTAACCAAACGTTTTCTGTTTTGTCCATCGAAATGCATGATAATTAAAAATATCATTCTGGGAAGATGGAAACACGACTCGACTCGATGATAGTGAGGTTCTTCGAACATTCTCGTTTCGCGTCCGACCAATAAAGTACGGGATATGATAGTTCTAGTTATTTCCTGGATTATTTTATAAAAGTTTATATAAAGAGTTTCTCTCTTCCGACATTTGAGAAATCATCGGATTGTTTGTAGCACTATATCGATTGACCTTTTTAACCAGCAATGAGCCTGCTGACTCGTATTTGGATTATCGGGCCATCCCTACACTAATCCAACACATTGCACTGTTGATAAACATAATTAACAACATTCTATATAAGTCTTTGGTATATAGTTAGTGATATCTTGACCGGGATTATCAATATTATACTGAACAGTCTTATTCACGCATTTCCATCGGCCATCGAAACAATAGCATTTTACTTCAATACTTGTTTCACAGAAAATAGAATAACATAATTCCATGTAGCTGAAACGATTTGAGTTGTTGCTAAAACGCAAAAAGAGAAAGTTTCTTGTGTCGGAAAACACCAAATCTTTCGAAATTTACTTATCTGCATAGTTGTTGTTTTGTTTCCTGCTGCGGTATAGATGGAAAAATCAAAAACTAGAAACTGGAATTCAGCGCTTCGTTAATAATATACACCGATGAACAATTAGTCAAAATTAAACAAAAATTTTGTTATCAGAACAAGGATGTATGCAATGGTGAGAATAGTGCTATGCCATGTATAGAACAGATTTGTATTGTCTCTATTCTTACCATTAAAATAAGCGAAAAAATGATTATTAGATAGCAGAAACACATTCGAGGATGATTGATGTTTATGATCAGTACATTAATAGTGCGCTATGCATGATTATTTTAACTTTATTTCCTCAACAAAATCAATATAAAAAAAAACACGCCCGTTTTCTGTATAAACTTCAAGTGCATATGACACGTGACGACCATTGGTTGAACTACACACTCGCCGAATTGAACAATGAACGAATAAGAAAATACAGATATTATAACCAGTTACGATTGAGAAGAATAGAAAAAGTGCCGTCGGAATGATCTAATATGGAGAAAAAACGATGCTGATCTTGATTTCAAACATGACAAAACTATCAAGAAATAAACTCGGTAGAGCAATGGAAGAAAGAGCATACACTAACTCAATGGTTACAAATGTCGTCATAAACGCTTTAGAAAGATATGAAGATAGGTTTGTTGCATTGAAAGATTGTCTGATATCCACGCAACTGACAAACAATATTCGATATTTTTTCCTTTCGAGGAGATATTATCAATCGAAAGTGCACTATCTTCTTCAAATTATCAACTGAATTCATCAGCACATCTCCATTGTGGTTTTATTCTAATGGATTGACACATTCGATCTTCTGGTTTGTTTTCGAAATTGACAGTCATCAAAATCTGTTGAAGCATTTCGACGATTCCGTCAATAAACTTTCTTTGATTGATAAAAAACAGAACATCCGTTGAAAAGAATGATTGATATTTTCCATTCTTCGTTCTCTCCACTTGTTTCATATCGATATCTAATCTTTTTCAACATGACGTGTAGACAATTAACGGACGTTCCTTCTCTCTCTCTCTCTCCCCCTTCTCTCTGTATATATATTGACCTTCTTGAATAGGATATGGTCATTTATGCTTTTCAATGGAAACAAGTGAGTAATGAAGCCCCAGACCAAATTGATGAGAAAAGNTCGGTTAAAATCGATTTTTACCGGCTAAAAATCGATGAAAATCAGTTTTGACTGCACTCATAGATGCCCATCGCTCAATCGTCGGAGAAATCGGTTACAATCGATTTTTACCGGCTAAAAAGTCGATGGAAATCAGTTGGGATAATTGGAATCTGTGTAAATCAGTTTTCTTGTTGCCTTTAATCAATTTTAATGGATTATCAGATTATTAATCGGTGGTAATCTGTTTTTCTCGTGTATTTAATCAGAATTGCCGGATTTAATCAGATTTTATGGATTTTTTTCAAAAAATCGATTTTCATCCGATGTTTTGGGGTATTTTTTTTACATGGGATATAAATGGAGGTTTTTTTCTTTATAATATGACACTTAAATAGTATTTTCGAGTACACTTTTTTCGAATAGAATCTAGAGTACAGATTTAAAAATATACTAATCCGCATCAATAGGCGGTAAATCATGGTGAAAATGAATAGTTTGCTGCTTAAAATAAAATTTATTCAGTTAAAAAAGAAAATGTTAATTTGTATTATATGCGTATATAAATTGAAATAGAACGAACCTGATTGCCATCATTCAAGGATGGTTTTCAATCGAACTCTACTCTTTGCAATTACTTTATTTTGTTTATTAATGCTTCTTAATACCGGTAGGATATTAAATTAGAAGAAGAAGACAAAGATCTGATACATTTCGTTCAAACTGCTCTATAGGTGTAGAAGGTTCGTGCAGTGCATGGTCACCAGAGTTCGGACGAATCGCTAGTGGCCAATGTCGTGCATTTTGTTTTGCTCATGAACGAAACGCTGGAACATTATCATGCGGGGCAAAATGGTGTTGTCTCTCACGCATTTAAACAAACGCTTATTCACATTTTTTAACTAACTATAATAAACACGCTACGAATGTCATGTCATCGGTCGATAGATAATGTTATTGCTCTTTTCATTTTCTCATGATAATATCCGTAATGCTGTTTTTCAGTAGGTAGTTCTTTATATTTGTATTCGAAGCATTTCTAAAGAAAAAGCCACGCAATATGCATGTTTGCCACTTGGAAAAAGTCAGGTGTCTATGAATAATATTTAAAAAATATCACGTTATTATTTACATATAATTTGAAGCATTCTCTCATGTTTTCGCTCGAGGTAGAAAATTACTTATTTAAACGGAAACTGAATCATTAGGCACTATATATATAAAGTATAAAATTTACTGTATTCTATGTTGGAAAGTCGCATTTAGTTTGTGTCTATCTATCGAACTAAACTGTATTGTTCATTTTTTGTTATTTTAAGACAGAGACTAGTTATGATGCTTCCTAATAACGATCAATCTCAAAATGATAATCGCATACAAGCTAAACGACGCACTGTTCGCCTCATGAGACCATTGGCTCTTCCAAATCAACATTTAGCGTCCTCTGTGGATCTGCGGCAATGGATGTCACCTATTGATGAACAAGGACACATGCAAACTTGGTATAACGTTACTCATTCATCAGTAGCATTCAGTTCTTTCTCTGCTTATTTGACTTTAGTGCCGCGATAGCGTTTGCAGGAGTTTGTGATTATCTATTCAAACGTTTCATGAACAATCCTGTCAAAGTCTCTCGTTTATTTATTTATTATAACGGTCAAATGATTGAACAAAAATCACGCGAGGTTGACGACAATGGAGTTCTTCCAATGAGTATTGCTTTAGGTTTAAGGAAATATGGAGTTTGCGAAGAAAGCTATTGGCCATACCAAAACCATTTATTAAATCAAATGCCATCAGATTCAGCATATAAACGCGCAAGCCGTTACACAGTCGTTCCATTTCATACGACAATTGATATAAATGCTATTGAAGTATGTCTGCATAATCAATTGCCAGTTTTGGTTGGCATTAGGTTGGCTGATGAATCGATTCGTGAAGTGCAACGTAATGGCGGTTATTTACGAGTTCCAGATTTGAATGGTTCAACGATTAGTAGCGTCCATCTGCATGGTATTGTGATTGTCGGATATGATAGAAGTGCGCAGTACTTCCTTTGTAGAAATTCATGGGGTAGACGATGGGTAAGAGAATGAAACTATTCCTTTGTTTCTTCATTTCAATTTCTTTTAGGGATATCGAGGTTACTTCTACATGCCGTATGAATACCTAACTCATCCTTATCTGGTTGATGATGTAGGTGGTATTTGGTCAATTTTGAAAATCCTACCTCGCACAAACACATTACCGACTGTTCGTCGATTACTTTTATCTTGAATTAAACAACATTATAATTCTATTACCACTTTCAGTTTTTTGCCTATAATAAATCATACTATAAGCATGGGTTGTCATTATACGACAGGATATTTCAGTGAGAAATGGAATATGAAAATGCTTCTTCTTTTTCCTCATGTGTATTGAATGTATTTTCTTACGAAAGTGGCACTATTTTTCATGAGTTAGATTTATCATGAATAATCAACTAAGTTTGGCAAAGATTCAAATAACATATTCACCGATGATAAATGATTGGATCAACTTTTCCCATTTGAGTTTTACTATCAGGTCGAATAACATATGAAGAGCACAAATGTCATTGAAGCTATTCCATTTAAAAGGGCAAATATAAACAGATTCCATTCTATACAGAGGTTCTTCTTTTACAAAAAATGTACTTGTTGTCGAAAGAATACTATCTCAATTTGAATTTATTTGCGAAATCGAACGAACGAGAAACTCCTCAAGAAATTGATGGAATATTATTGGCACCCAAATTTACATTCTGTTGACCATACTGAATCTTTGTCTTGTCGGTGTTACTTTATCGTTATTAGAATAGCCGGCAGTTACTCTTATCTGATTCGTGCTCTCATATTACAATTCCATATGATCAATTTATGTCACTCAAAACAAGTTTTCATCAGACTGGTACAAGTGGTTTTATAAGTAATCGATGAATCGAAACAATTCAATCTGGCGCAGATTCAGTCCTTTTCGCTATACGAGATATTCGACGAATTGGCAGTGCGCAGTTTCAAACACCACTGCCCTTTGACTTTTATCAGAATCAAATACTAATCAGGAGGTTTCTCTCTCCACTCAAAATGAATTGATGAGCCCACAAGCACTGACGGAAGACCCACCCTTCGCTCGCGCAATTTAATTGGATTATACGATGGTTTGGTAATTGTGTGCCGGCTGGTTGCTTTATTTATAGTTAAAAACTTATTTAATAGAAATCGAATAGCTCATACGACCACCGAGTTTCTTGCTGATTAGGACTTATAATTAGTGCCGTGCTGTAGTTGACATGTGGAGCTGACATTATTTTAACTCTTAGTTCAAAAAATACATGCCAAAACGCCATCAGAACTTCTGAAAACATTCATATCGATCAATTATCTTGATTCGAGAGAAATTCTGCTTGCGTGTCAATTTGTTTGATGTCTTCGGTAAGAATCTGTGTATATTCTGCAAAGCAGCTCTGTACACTCGTAGCATAAAACTGGAATATTCTATACGTTGGCTTCTAATCCTGTGAAAAGACTGTTCTTGCACATGCGTCCTTAAGTGTGCATTCAAATGCCTCCTTTTTTTTGTAAAATTCTTCCAACAATAACAAATAATCGAGATGTTTATATTTTGCTGACGTCACAAACATTTTTGTTAAAATCACAGAGAGAGAATTCTGTCAATCATCTTCTTTGTTTTAATAGAATAAATAACGACAATCTTTCTACATTCTACATCACAAAAATTACTTAGACCTCTTTAAATATTTACATACGTACAGTTTATGAATCGAACCTACTTCCTACATATTCTGGACAGTGAACAATGTGTGATAACATTCGAATACAAAGAACTAACAGAAATCGATCCTGAAATGGAATTCGTTTCCAAACGCTCAACATTTTGAAATAGGAAAAGTACTGTATACTTTCACACTGAATTTGTTTCAGATAAGATAGAACTCTCTAACTGGAAAAAACATGGCCTCGAGACGAAATCGTGATGTCACTGATCGTATTCGTCGTATGGAACGTGGTCATCTTTCAGAAGAACCACTACCGAGGGAATCCACAACACATGGTATGTATTAGTCTAGCTTATAAAGCAGAGGGTGGATATGATACGATGTTGTAGTTGAACTCCGATGGAATACATAATTAAATCTGAATAAATACTGTAGCAATACTTCAATTTTGACAGTAATGTTGCTTACGCTTCGCACTGTCTTATAACCTGCTAAGTTTCCAACGTAGATGCTTCTTCAATGCCATCTAGCACACTTGTAACAACTACGTAGTATATATCTTTTCCCCTATTCTGTTTATTATCTGAGAGCGAGCCGTGCCAATGCCTATGGGTCTACGAGAATGTTGTCATAGGATACCTTTGAGCAGGATTCTGCTTTTTCTTAAGCCGATTCATTCCACAGTGAAGGTTCCATTTGTGAAATTCTTTACCCACACCCTCAAGAACACAAAAATCACCACATATTTATTTATAATAAATGATTCTGAAAGATAGTTTACGCTCATTTTGTTTAGAACAAAAGAAATATTCAATATCGCAGTTGATATCACATGAGTCTGTGCCAAAGGCAACGAAAGAATTCTTCGACGAATGCAAAGAATATTATCATCTTACACAAAAGCCGTTGGTATCGGCTCCTGACGAAATATTTCGCAATGAAAGCGAATGTACACCATTTACAATGACGATGGGTGTCGATAGAGAACCGGAGGAACTCGATTTGGATGGATTTGTCGAAAGTATTCAACGCATTTGTAATTTTAAAGACGGTCAAATTCAACCAGTATCTATCAAAGTGAAGCCACTGCTAGTTGAACTGAAGTTAAACCAACGAGACCAGTCCTTTGCGATGCCGACAGTCAAAATAGTTTATTCAAAATTGACCGATGAAACTTTAAACGAATTTTACAAGATGGGTATATTTGTTCTTATTTTAGGATCATGCAGATCACTGGAGAAGCAGCAAGAAGGTCGTAAAAAACTGATGATGGATGCTCGATATAACCGTACCTACGGGCCAAATCACACTTTTTGGAAAGGACCACTTGATGATGGAAGGGACCGCGGAAGTAAACCGTACTATTGCCCTGTTGGATGGAAAAGATATTCGTTTTTTGTTCCAGTCGATTTCAACACGAAATTTAAAGGTTGGTGCATTTGTTACCACGGTACTCAATTCCAGAATGGATTATCTATTTTACTAAGTGGACTAAGGCCTGCGAAAGATGTCGCTCATGGCCCTGGTATCTATACTAGTCCATCGATCATTTATACAAGTCATCCAAGGTATGCAGAAGTTAAATATATCGATTCGGAAACTAAATTTGGTTTTCTCAAGTCTAAGCATTATATTCAGTTCGTATTAGAATGTCGTGTACATCCAAAAGACATTAAAGTAGCATGTGAAACTCTACTTTTGGGAGACGCTCAGATCGATACTAACATAGATAACTCGGCAATTGAATGGGTGGTTAATAATTATGGAAAAAAATTGGTGGATTTTAATGATCCAGATGCCTCTATCGTTTGTACGGGTGTCATGGTTCGTATAACTGATAGACATCCGGCCTTGTTGCCGGAATCTGGTTGGTGGTTTAAAGCAGGCGTAAGAAATAGCAGCAAAGGATGGAAAGAGTTTTACAAAACACTCGAATCCGTTGAGACCGAGAGACAAACTGGAGTGGCTTGCAGTATAATACTTGAATAAGCCAAAAGTACACATGCAGTGTTGAACTACAGACACTTTTCCAGGAAAACACTTAGTTCCATCAGAAACAAATAACTACATTTATTATCAAACAATACTAAAAAGAGATAATTGTGTGTGTTTGCTCTAGAAACATTCATGTACTGTTCGAAAAAGGCGACTGATCTTAAACTGCAAAGGATAGCTTGTCTTCTTTCAATTCAAGAAGTAATGCAGAATGTTAGTAAGCCATCTATCTCTCCGGAGAAATCTCCAGAGCAACTACGTCTTAGCTGATATAATTTAATCGACATAGTTCATATTCACGTTAGATAAGTTAATATCTCTGACGTCATCCGGATTTAACGAATGCAAAAAGGAAAACGTCTCACGTTATCTAATAAAACACATCAAATACATAAACAATCGTAAGGTTAAGAGATTGCCCGTTGACATCCGATGAGAAACATTTGATAACCTCTCGTAATTTCATCATAGCAAGGATCGAATGCAACAAATAACGACGGATATTCTCTCTACTAATTATATTAAATTTTTATTCAATGAAACAAACTCGAATGAACAGGCGTCTGAGTTCCAGAAAATTTTCTCTCAACAACTGATCCATCTGGCATAGGCACGCGAATCGACCATGATTGAATCGCTTTCATCAGATCGACACCACTTGAAGATAGGGTCCAGCGAACGATTTGACCGGCAGAAACTGGAATAGGTGGATAAATAGGAAAACTAGTTCGTCCCCAATGTGTAGCTGGTTTATCAGGTGCATTGGATAAGACTGTCTGATTACCCATATCACATTGGAACCAGGCGGCAATACAAGACAAGCTTCCGTCTTTGATTATGCGACTTTCACCAGAGAAAGAAAAGTCTGCATCGATTTTGTTGGCACTTTTCATAATCAATTCGTATAGCTCTTCTTCTTTACTAAGAAGTTGGTCCGGTAAGACCGAATGACGTGCATTGAGAACAGTATTTCCATGAAACTCACCCATCATATCTAAATCTAGATCATACGGTTTCGAATACCAAAACGATAGAATGGTTGTCAATGAAGGATCATCTGCTAACGCCGCATAGCCTTTCGCAGTCGCTGGAATCATAATTCCATTAGGTTTCAAAACATTATTCCGAGTTGCTAATAATGGTGGCACAAAATTTTCGTCAACACCTAGTCCACCCATCCATTCCGATACTAAAACATCTGCTTTTTCCGGCAATTGAACAGTCGATCCATCTTGTTTGATAACCGTGATGATATGATCTAGTTTATTTCTTTTGATCATTTCAACTAAATAAAAGTCAACCGAATCAAATTAAACTTCATTGCAAAGAAAAATCTTTACCAGCAACATCAGCCATATCGGTAATTTCTAATGCATAAACTTTTTTCGCGCCAGCTTTAGCTGCAAACATGGAAAGAATTCCTGTTCCAGCACCAAAATCAACAACAACGTCGCCTTGTTTAACTTGGTCCAATATTGCTCGACGATACGAATTCGTTCGGATTTGGTCGAACAACATTTCACGTTGAATCCAGAACGACGCATAAGTATCGACCCGAAGATTTTTCGCTTGAATCGTGTTCGATGGCACCGACAATCGAATCAACAGATTCGATTTCGCTGATATTTCACATGTTGAAGTATTTTCTATTGAATTCATTTTCCTCGGAACCTAAAATCAACTGAAGTTATTCGTCGCGTACTATGGGCATTTACTTAACAAAAAAGAGAAAAACAAGTGATCGATCAAAAATACGCATAGTGCAAAGAAAAAGGAAAGGAAAATGTTTTTTCATAACGATAGATATGCACTCACTACAAAATGGATATAGAGTACATTCAGAATATATGCAAATGCAGTAAATGAAGACAAATCGTATTAGCGTATGTGTTTCATATACAATTCATTTAACATTGGAGTGACAGTGGGTGTGCATTTTGACAGAATCATTACGATTTGTTTTCTGATTTTGATACGTAAACTTGGAAATTGACAGAGAGATGCGAATGGAAAGAAAAAGATGATAAAATAACTGACAAAATAGAAATATAATTGAATTTGAACGCCAGCATTTGGTGGTAAGTCCAAAACATGTGTCAATGGAGTTGTGAACATTGGAAACTTGACAGAAATATTCAAGTTTGAAACGAAAAACAACTGAAACGTCATTCGCCATTGTTTATGCCAATGAATCGATCGATTGAGACGACATTTCTGTAACTGAATACGTATCACCAGAACAACGCTAACAATGCCTCCTAGACGAACTGGCAGAATCGTATGCGCAATAAATTCCCACATGCCAATAATACCGAGCGTTTGACAGCAAGGTGACGCACCACATATAGGTACGAAATAATTGTATTCATTCTCGCATGGTAAAATAAATATAACGATCAGATAAAAAAAGGAGACATATACGATTAAAACAGTTAACGGTAGATAACGAAAAAGGAATCGTTTTCGTCTCGTTGAAGCTAGACGATCGTGAAATATGAGGATATGTCGTTCAAGTACTAACCATGTCATGAGAAGAATTCTTCCGATATAGAAACCGTAATCATATAAATACCAAACAAGGCAAACGATCGGTGACGACAGTTAAGCTGAATCGTAGCGAAAGAAAATTAGATCAAAATCTACATTCAGTAGTCGGATAGGTAAACCAAATATGAGTATAAGGAGAATGGTATGATTTTGTAACGCTTGCTGTTGTATAGAAAACGTTAATGTGTTAATAATGAGACAAAAACTACAGATTATTGATGGCGTATCAAATAGAAGCATTAATCAAAATCGAACTGGACGTGGTATAGAGACTTCGAAGACTGAAAACGAATCATTTGTGGACAATTCGGATATAAGAAGTATAATCTAAAACAGATGATTCTTCTTCACTGAAGATTTTCTGTTAGTAAAAAGAAAGATTAGAGAATCTTTATAAACGTCCTTTTGTAATTGAGAAAAAAAAATTTCTCGATTTTGCAGCAGGTTTCAACAAAGATACCCAGCGAATATGATTTCGATCACAAGTGTAAATAGTCTTTCACCTGCTGAAGAAGTAATATACTTTGCTCGATTAAGGCCAAACGACTACCTTAGCCAATCTAATGATTTCGTGTTGTAACCAAACGTTTTCTGTCTTGTCCATCGAAATGCACCATAATAAAATATCATTCTGAAAATATGGTACGACAGCATGTTCTTCGAACATTCTCGTTTCACGTCCGACCGATAAAATACGGGATGTGACGGTTCTAGTTATTTCCTAGATTATCTTATAAAAGTTTATATGAAGAGTTTCTCTCTTCCGACATTTTAGAAATCATCGGATTTAACTGAAATTTTTATTTAAAGAAGAATTGTTTTCAAAAATCAACACTTGTAAATTTCGGATTTTTTGTAGCACTACTGATTGATCTTTTCAACCAATAATGGGATTGCTGACTCGTATTTGGATTATCTGACCATCCCCATACTAATCCAACACATTGTAGTGTTGATAAACATAATTGACAACATTCTGTATAAGTCTTTGGTATATAGTTAGCGATATCTTGACCTCTAGATTATGAATATTATGCTGAACGATCATATTTAAGCATTTCCATTGATCATCTAAGCGATAGCATTACTTCAATACTTATTTCACAGAAAATAGGATAACATAATTCCATGTAACTGAAACGATTCGAGTTGTTGCTAAAACGCAAAAAAAGAGAAGATTTTTTGTGTCAGAAAACACGAAATCTTTCGAAATTTACTTATCTGCATGATTGTTGTTTTGTTTTCCTGCTGCTGTATAGATGAAAAAATCAAAAAGTAGAAACTTGAATTCGGCACTTCGTTAATAATATACATCGATGAATAATTAATCAACTTTAAATAAGTACTGTTATCCGAACAAGGGTGTGTGCGAAGGTGAGGATAACGCTATGCCATGTATAGCACCAATTTGTATTGTCTCTATTCTTACCATCAAAATAATCGACAAAGTCATTGTTAGATAGCAGAAACACATTCGAGAACGGCTGATGTTTATGATCAGTGCATTAATAGTGCGCTACGCACGATTATTTTATCTTTATTCCTTCAACAAAATCAGTACAAAAAATAACACCTTCCGTTTTCTGTATAAACTTCGAGTGCATCACAACATGTCATTAATATACACCACGATAATCAAGATTTCATTCTTTGGCTTTCGAAAAATTTGAACAACTTTTTCATCGATTTATTCATCGTACTTAATTGTAACACATTATGCAGCATGGACAACGATGAAAAAAACATAAATATAGCTTGTCACATAGGTGCTTCGTTGAAACAATTTTCAAGACGAAACGAGGTGCCAATTCAACCATGGAAATAACTAAACGAATATATCGTGCATCTGACACGTGACGACCATTGATTGAACTACACACTCGCCGAGTTGAACGATGAACGAATAAAAAAATACAGATATTATATCCAGTCACGATTGAGAAGAGTAGAAAAAGTGCCGTCAGTATGATCTAATATGGCAAACAAAGGTGCTGGTCTTGATTTCAAACATGACAAAACTATCAAGAAATAAATTCCGTAGAGCAATGGAAGAATGAGCATACACTAACTCAATGATTACAAATGTCGTCATAAACGCTTTAGAACGATATGAAGATAGGTTTGTGGCATTGAAAAATTATCTGATATCCGCGCAATTGACCAACAAATGTTCATTGTAAATAAGTTGAACTGATTATTTCTAATTTACGGTTGAATCAATATGAGATAAATGCATACAACCAACAGAATCGTTGTCAATAAAAAAAAACATTAGTAGCATAACAATATATTCGATATTTTTTTCTTTCGAGGAGATGTTATCCATCGAATGTGCACTATCTTCTTCAAATTATCTACTGAATTCATCAACACATCTCTATTAGTTTTATTCTAATGGATTGACACATTCGATCTACTGGTTTGTTTTCGAAATTGACAGTCAACAAAATCTGTTGAAGCACTTCGACGATTCCGTAAGTGAACTTTCTTTGATTGATAAAAAACAGAACATCCGTTGAAAAGAATGATTGATATTTTCCATTCTTCGTTCTCTCCACTTGTTTCATATCGATATCTAATCTTCTTCAACATGACGTGTAAACAATTAACGCACGTTCCTTCTCTCTTTCTCCGTATATATATTGACCTCCTTGAATAGGATATGGTCATTTATGCTTTTCAATGGAAACAAGTGAGTAATGAAGCCGCAGACCAAATTGATGAGAAAAGTTTGTCGACAAGCGCAAATGATACGTGAGCGATTTCAAAATTCTGATACGACAAATAAAAAACCTCAAGAAAAGAAGTTCGATTCGCTTGTTAATAAAACCGGAGCCAGATTTCGATCCAAACTAGCTAAATTAAGCGTAGGAAAGACTTGGTTAGAAATCGAAGAAGTACGTATAGTCGTATATCTGTTATCCTTTTTTTGAAATCTCCTATAATTCTCCATCAATTGAAGGAATGGATTATCTTAAGACAAGTTCAATTATCTAAACAAGGCGAACAATGCTTATGTGGAAAAGCAAACTTGAAATTCATCACTTATTTAAAGAATATTCACAACAAAAAGCTAATTATTGCAGGGAATTGTTGCTTACTGACATTTCGTAAATTTCGTTTGTAAAAAAGTCCCTCGTTTTATTTATTTTGTTTTTTTTTTCGAGTAAATTTCACGAATAACAATTCAACACACTGATCTCTCATCGGAATGACCATTTCGTTTCACATACATTTCATAATTTAATGAATACTCAATAAGATAATACACACACTCATTGTTTCAACATTGATTGATGTATTTGCCTACGGAGTGAAAGATAAGAACATAATCATTTGTTTCCTTCAAGCGTGATGAAACATGACCACTTGAATCTTTCTCATCATCTTGTCATTTTTTTGCAAGTACATTCTCTGGCAATGATAACGTTTAATTTTCATATAATAAAACGACAGAGAAAATATTCGTTTTTATTCAAGTTCGATATTTGAAGAGTGCGGCGAAGGTAAGTTTTCAGCTGCGACTTGATTACTTGCTATGCAACATACAGATTTCATTTTTCGCCAACATTTCTTCCTCAAAGTAAATGACACTTGACGACGGTACCGTGGTGATATGATCATAAAAACGAAACAACTGAGCTAGAAGAAAACCAAAGGATTCAATGTGAATCGAAGGTGAGAGTTAAAAAAATCTACCGAATTATTGAACCCAATGCAGGATGTAACAATTGCTTGAAATAAACGTCTGATTGCATACGATAACGACTGATTTGGAACAATAGGAACATTTATGACATAAATACGAAAAAGTGTGTAGGGTAGAAGAAGGCTCACTAGCATCACTACACGTGTGAGAACCATCGCCGTCATCTGTTGATCTAATCGCCGTCGGGCTATGGGAAGTTGTCGACGGACTATACGACGAACATTTCGAAAGGCCAAAATATTGAACAAGGATGCAATGCAGATCGGTAATAGGCCAACTAAAGCTGGATAAAAGAAATATGTTGAATATCGCAGCGATATTGGATTTAATATGACACATCCAACTTGTGGTTGAATTTCGAAGAACGTAACGAATACGATACTATGAGTGAGCCAAATACACGCAAATATACTGGTCAGATATCGAGCCAATCGAATTGTACAGATATTTCTTAAATTTAATTGAAAATTCGTCGAAAGAAATTGATCGCAAGCAGCAAAGCATAGTGTATACGATGTAATCAATGATATTGTTTGACTTGTTGTGTAACGAAAGCGGCACCAGATAAGGTTCGTTCCAGTTGCATCATCACCGCGTAAAGATATTAAAATATTGACAGCGATAGAAAGGAACAGACTAAAAAAGTTCGCCGTGGATTCAACTACCAAATAGAAAGCGGATCGATTGTTTCGAAAGAGTTTTAATTGAGTTAATGTAAGAATATTGAGAGCATTACCAATTACACCACCGACGATTGAAAAGTAACCCGCATACAGAGAATACTGTATAGAAAATGCCACGATATCTTCCAACATTGATGACAATCTAACGAAACAGTTTTATATTATATACTTAGTATGAAAAAGATGTATATAAAAAGAAAGAGAAGGATAGACTGTGTTTCATTTATTTGAAAAAAAAAACAAGTGTAGATAATCTGTAAGATTATATAAACACCTTTGAGATTAATACGCGTGGATAAGACTTGCAGTCAATTTGTTTAATAAATTTCCATCACTTGATAATTCTCTCCTTATTCTTTCCTAGAGAAGATTCTCGCTGGGAAAGCTGATAACATTCTGTAACCATGACTTGTACTTTTTTACATATTTTTCTGACCCCATAATGAGGCATGCGCAATACAGTGAGTGGAGAATATTAAGAGAAAAAAGAATTCTTTCAAGTATTCCTACTAACAAAGTACGCAAGGATGTTTTTGACATCAGCAGCAACGCATCTTTTACCATAATCAAAAAAGAATGCACACATCGTACTTTTATAAGAATGGAATGCAGGTACATAATTTATTGAAACAATTATACTTAAAAAGTAGACATTAATAGAATAAGATTAATCTCACTATTGTATTGTTTTGACATATCAAAGATGTGGATGGATGCTCAACGAAACTTACTGTCAGATTCTTATTAATTCTTATCAAAAACAAAGAAGAAAAACTCTGTAATGCGAGATAGTTACGTTGACTAGAACCAAATCTTTTGCAATTTCTTTTCTCTATCGTGTCTCTTGTCTGGGACAAATGTTTCACATTTAATGTACTCCTAATCATTCATTCATACTCAACCATTGTCTTTAGTTTAAACTATTCTGAAACAACTCAGCAGAATATGTCAAATTAATCCTCAAACATCGACGTCTTATTATATTACTTCATCGCGCGAAGAGCAGTCTCCCGTAAAGGATGAGTCTCATTGGTTAATTTAGAAAGTAGTACCGCTAGTCTTTCTCTCATTTATTAAAATAACACAACTATAACATGTGCCGCGTCGACTTTTAGGTCACTTTTATATTGTAACCTTCTCGTGCCTGGAGGAAACAAATATGATAACGATGGCAATCGAACGATATGGGAATAGTTTGAGTGGATTGCTCGGATACGCTGTTCTTTCTTTACGTCTGACACAATCACAGTCTCGCACAATGAAAATATCTTCACTCACTTCTGCTTTGCTACTGATACGATCGCAATTCGGACTTATTTTGTAAGTCATGCTATACCTACGAGCTACTAGAAGGTTTTCTTGGATAATTATTGTTCGTGGGCAAGGCAAAGTCACATCAATTTAGTGCACTTCGAAGTCATTGTCAGGGATGTCTGAAGGCAGTCAATTCAATCTTAGTGACGGATTTCGAAAGATCCTACAGCACATTTGTCGTTGAGAAGGTATGTTCTGCATGGTTTTCGTAATATACGCCTGCGTTTCTATATATTGAGGGATTAATTAGATAACTATTGAATGCGATCTATTATATTCATCAAGTGAAGTGGAATTATTCACAGCTGAGAAAGAAAAGTTTTCATAAATCATACTATATATCCCTATCTTTTGTCCGCTATCATTAGACTAGCAAAAAAATCAATATACAGTGGATATCAATCGTGAATGCTCTTCGAGAAAGCTAAGATTTCGTCTGTTCGACAACAATAATAAGTGGAGCATAGAATATAGGCCGCTGTCTTTGAATAATACATGAAAAAAAGATAAAAGATATAAGGACAATACCTAGCATGAAAAATTACAGTTACAAGTGAATAAAGATCAGCGGGGCGAATAGAATTAATTATGTCATTCTTTTATTTAGTGGAGATTTTTCTTCGCATTACAGATCGTGATCTAGTTTGTATGCGAAGAATGTTGTTCGTGCCATCTATATACCCATTGAACAGAACGAAGCATTGTGATACCTAGAAAGTGAGCCATTGGCTCTATATTGAGGATATACTCATTGCAGGAAATTACGATGTAATGGTTTATCCATGTGCAGTGAGAGGCATAAGAAGAAGTATTTTCTCTTTGCATCTATTTAATAGACCTATATTCTTAATTGCGCTTTTTTCTGAAAAATGTGTACATGAAACTGGATAAAACTTTTCACTTATCTGTTCCTCAACATCGACTACACTAGGAGTCATTCATATGCACCTATGTTTATTTTTGCTCGAAAAAAAAATTCCATACGATACGATGCGATGGACACAATCCTCAAATATTAACATTCCACCGTGTTATTTCACTGTAAAACGAAAATGTGACATAAATACATTGAATATAATCCAATAAAGGTAATTACACTTTAAACATGCATCAAAATGGTGTTATTAAAACCTGCGTTTCACTGAATTTTGAAGCACTGCTGTAACTGTAACAGTTTCGCAACTTGGGAAAATGACAAAATGTTTTTGTCACTCATTCAATCACCTTCCACCCTGTTTGTTCGAGCTTTTTCGTCACCAAAGAATGGATCGAAACATTAATTACATATACCAAATGCAAGTCGGTATGATACGTCGGATTTTGGAACGACGACCAATCCTCAAGTAAACTTACAGATAGAGACATCTCTTCCATGTAACTTTCTTGAGACACTTACGAAAGTGAATACCTTGGTATCACCTCTGACTACGAATTTCATTCTTTTCATTGGGGGTAATTATCGACATGATGAAGCTATTGTGTCTAATGTGATTGTTTGTTTGTATAATACCGACTGTTTGAAGGTATTGCACTACTACCTTCCATCTCTGCAGCGGAATTTTAACTCAACCGAAAGAATCGATGTTGAGAGTTAGAGATATTTTGTTATGCATAGATGTTGGTTGGTTGGCCCAGCCATGTTGTATATGGTGAACAACAAAATATGTCTGCATACAAGCATCTAATGAATCTCTTTATTGATGATTGGTCAACGAAAATCAATTGTTTAAAATATTTTGATGAATGCGTCCCGTCATTTTGCACAGATATAGCAACAAATTCAATCAATGCTTCTCTTGCATTCACCATACTACCCAGTCTGTAGCGTGGTCTTATACGTTAACCTTTCATCTCCTTGGATTAGTATTTCTTAAAACTGCATTGAAATGACAGTGGAGAGAAACGATCAATAGTTCCGGTAATTGTAACAAAGAATACAAACGATCTGCTCTTCTGTTTATACTTTGTCTACTTATGTGATACATATACGAAAAGTTAGACGGTCGATTACACAGGTGAATTTAATCAAAGATAAGAATAATCGAACGGAAAACAATAATCAAACGCCTAAGAATCGTCGCTCACTACTTTCAACGATCATCTTCGATTGTTTGTTCTATTTTATTCGCACGATGTTAACCATGGGAACGCGATTGTATTGTTGTAAGGGATGTTTCTTCCCATACAAGCATTGATTTATGACGATCAATGCTCTTCCGGATTGTACAACTCAAGTAAATTTTATTGAAACAAATCCTTCAAAGTTGATTCCAATTGAAGGCTTAAAAAATGTGTTGTACGCCAAGTGAATCCTTCCTTGCATCGATTCTCGGATGCTTTCACCATCAAACATATGTTCGTCTTCTTCAAGTCCACTACTCACAACATATGAAGTCAATTACCAAAAACTACAACTATCAGCAAATTAACCGATGATCTGTTTATTGCCGAGCAACGAATAACAACTAATGATTATTCATCTCGCCTTCAATAATGTGCACTTTCGTTATGATCATACGTTTACATTCAAAACTTTGAGTTACTTTACACAATTACTCCGATACTTGGTCTTGAAGGCGGTTTAACAATCATTCGTCAATAGACTTGTGCCATCTTGGTACAAATTATATTCACGATCTATCAAATTCATGTCATTGATAGAATATCTGCTAAATTACATAGCACAAATATCCGGAATCCTTCGCATAATTCATCATTTCGATATTCTGTGACGATTATTATCGTCTGTATACTTGTAATATTAATATTACTAGCTTTTACAATGTTTTCAATTCACATATCATGCTAAACAATTTTAAATAACTCGAGATCATCTCGAAATATCATTTTATCTGTTAGATCGAACATGAAAAATAATACGTCTGGCGATGCTTAATCGATCTTGTTAATTCATACCCAGAACTTCATATTATATATTGTTTTTTTGACCTCTCGAGTGACGCTCGATGAAGTAACGATTTCAAAAATAGAAGTTTCTTCTTATTTGACCTTAACGTTAATATAATCGAGGAAAGAAAGCACGCACTTTTCTAAATTTTAAACGGGGTTATTGCGTCTATATTTGTTCTTCGTCGTCGATAAAGAAAAGCACAAAATGTTTTTTCCTCTCTTATATATTATATATGCATATCAACGGACGGACTGTCTTCTCTCGACAGAAAGGACGAAAAAAAGTCTCTTTTCACTAGTGCTGTTCTATTTCTGTTCAGATTACGCTCTTCTGTCACGAAGGTTCACTAGTTGCTACCGTCAATTCATCAAACCTATTCTTTAACTCGTTTAACCTCCAAAATAAATTAACAGGAGAAAACGATGGTATTCGAATGTAAAATTTGCCATGCACCAGCACAAATCAGTTACTACGGATGCATTGCATGTGCACCGTGCAAAATATTCTTTCGACGAAATGCTAAAAAGCAGGTCTGTTTCATAGAGGTTATTTGCGTGATTTTCCTGCACGTTTACTTGTAGAATGAATTACATTGTCCTTTCGATAATAATTGTGAAATTAATGTTAACACTCGTCACACGTGTTCAGCTTGCCGATTAAAGAAATGTGTTGACAGCGGCATGGAAATTGAGAGAATTAGAGCCAGTTATTCAGTCACAAGTAAAAGCAAAGCAGTAGTACCGAAAACAACAGCAAAAGTAAGGAAACAATCATGCTGATAACCGATGAGACGAAGAATTTGAAATTTTAGTTACAAGTAGTGAATTTGTTAGACGCAGATCGATCGAATATCAATGCTGATCAATGGACTCTCCTTTCGAATTTATTATCATGTTATGATGAATACAGTGGATTGATTATTGGTCGAAATTTTATGACCGAACAAAATAAAATGCCAGTGAAAATACGTTTTAAACCTTCGTCGATCATTCATCTGTTCCAGTTGTTACTTGCCGATGGTCAATTGCTCTACACAAAGAACCGAGATTTTCTTGCGTTATCGACAGAAGATCGTTCGATTTTGATAGAGAATACGCTTATATATACAACGGCCAGTTCAGTGAATTTCATCAATTCACAAATAGGAATCATGGATTTAGCTATATTTTATGAAACGATGGGGGTTATTAGTAATCCAGGTTCAATTACTATTATGAAACGTATTGCTTCACACATGATATCCGACAATGTGGTGATGAAATTGTGCTTAGCCATTATGTCTTTTTCGACTTTACGACCGACGTTCTGTTCGACTGATTCGTCCAAGCAGTTTTCAAGCATAAATGCGATTTTGAAAATTCAAGATAGTTACATCGAATTAGCATGGCGATATCTGATTTATACCTACAAATTGGAATGGACTGTTCGATGTTTTTCTGATATGATCCGGTTTCTATTTATCATAAATGAAGGCGTTGTTCAAACCAAAGAAGTCGAATGGTACCATGAGACACTGGATTCTGTTACTCAACAAACGAAAGAATGTCTCACCGTCAGTGACTAATTCTTGTGTTTGTTATCGTTTTGTTGCGAAATAAAAAGATTTAACTGAAGAAGATTCAGTTTCAAGAAAAAAATGTCTTAGCTTTTCTCGCAAGCAAAACAATTAGGATGGAAGAAATTGATATTTGTGTATGACAAGCTCGACTGCATCGTTCAGGTTCTAGATCTTGATACTTTGGTAAAGCGGCGAACGTTTCGACTATGATGAAAGGACTTCGACCGTACGTGACACCACGAGCAGTATTATCATAAAAACTTTGCCATTGAGCAACTAATTGAGGTGTCCATTTGATTTTTATCAGTATCTCCTGCAATGCAGTCTCGTCAAAATTTTCTCTAAAACAGGAGAAAGCATATTTTGTATCTGAGAATAAAGAATCGAAGATTTACGCTGATACGTTCAGAAAACGTTTCCATGCTGACCAGTCGTTGTGTGTCAAACACATGGATAAGTCATTCATTCGAGGATAATAGATGAAACCATGGATACACATTTCATCTTTCGTTCGCCCTCCACCCTAAAAAGCGTTACAAAAATTATTCTATCGGAAGAAGACAGTTTTACTTTACCCTGGTCGTTAAGTTTTTATTCTTTGTATTGTAAATACAACGAGTGGCAAACTCATCGCCCTACAAGATACGAACAATGAAATACTTAGTCGTTAAGAACGAAACTAAACTGGATAGATTTGAATTGGTTTCGGAAAGCGATTATGAAATTGATAGTTGAAATCATAGGCTTCACTGTTGAACAAATACTGAACAGCTGTTCTGTTTCTAATCAGTTTTGTCCATACACTTTGACCTATTTTTTATTAAGTTAAGTTCACAAGCTCTATTCGAACGACTGGTTTACCTTGAAGATGGGTGTGAGGCAATGCACAAAATACCGTGATGCCAGACTTTGGAATATTCTACAGAAAAAATACAAGAAAATGAAATATTTTTGAATTTTCCGAAGATACATACAAGACTCGCACTTGCAGGACAATAGGAATCGACAATGAATCGATCCGCTCCTCCTGGAATGGCTAAAGCTTGCGCTGTCGAATCCGTGCCGAACGTTAGATAACCAATATCGTGTTCACGAAGTTTATCACCAAGATAGAATCGAACACCAGTCGTATCCCATCGATCTAAACACGAAGAACATCTTGAATTCGCTAAATAAAGTCGTTCTCTACTTGAAACCAAACGTGGATTGTCATAATGCAATTCTATCATATAGTAGTTGACAGTAAAATCACCACCAACAGGATACCCGGCCTCTTCGGGATACGTCATGATCTAATTAAACTGATCCTCATATTTCAATGAGATAAAGATGAGTCTTACTTCATCACCACCGACAGACCACACAGTGACAACAGTTGATGAGCACAATGAGATTTGATCGCGAATATCATCGCACACATCATCTGGTAGTTTCGTGTTGTCGAATTGAGTCGAAGGGTCACACTCATAAATACTCATGTGATGGACAAATTCACGACTGTTTGAATCCAGTAAAATTTTGTGCTACAAGGATAAAAGTTAATGAAAACATGCGAATGAAAACAAATCTAACATACTGCGATTACATGCCGCTTCGTTGGGTACGTAATTTGTGTCTTAAATACTTTGCAATAGTAAGTTGTATCCGCAACAGGAACTAGATATTGACAAATGTATAATCAAAAAGAGTATGATCGAAGCCAATTAGTCATACCGGAATGATTTATACGAAGTTCGAATGAATCAAGATCAGCGTACTCGGTTTGCGGGAGTTGATCAATATAATATCGAAGTGGTAGCATGCGACTACCTCGTCGACTCTCATGATAACTTATTTCACCATTTCCATCAGGATCCACCAGTCCGTATGCATAGATGAGTATATTGGTTCCGGACTAAACTAATCACTCTGCCGTTAAATCAATAAAGAGCTTCTCGTTTACTTTTATTGGAACATCCATCGAATCACATGTTTCAAGCAGGCGACGAAATTGAATGGCTGTCCATCCATCCTGTTCGCGTCCTTGGAGAGCGAACCAGTCTGTTGTTGTATAATCAATAACAGGTCGTGAACGGTTGTACGCATATCGATCCTAAAGACACATACTTATGAAAACCATAGGCAATGTTCGTATACTATACTTGAAATTGAACTGTACCCGTTTGATCTATCCATCCAACACCAATATCAGCACCTGTCATCCCACCAGCTAAACATTTTCAAACTGGTTATCTATCGAGTTAATATGATTTTGTTTCTACCTGGACTAATACCCAAAGCAATCCAACCTGTAGTTTTCACGTGCAATTCAAATACAATTTCACGCTCAGCATCATCAATTGTCCACCACAGATCCGAAATATTGGCTTGCAGTTCGGTGGAATGTTTATACTCAGTAAAAGGCTGTATAGGACTGGAAATGCCATTGGATCTCTTCAGTATTATAAACGAAAAGAAGACTCGATATATAAAGCACGTCCACATCATCTAAAACTGAACCGCGTAATAGTGCAAAGAACGTATTATCTATCACTTTATCCAAACTGAATAAAAGAATTCAGTTTTGTGATGAGAATGATGTTTTATTGACTTGTATTTGAAAACATAAAATGGAGAATACTAAAGATGATTTTGCGTCTCTTCTCTCAGTTTTATTATCAGAAGCCGTAAAAATTCGAAAGGTACTTATGTAGAACAAAATGCATTGCTATAAATGTTCTCGAAAAATGTTAAACGCTACAGCGAACATGATTGGCTGATTGCAGCAATATCTTTTCTCGTATAATCGTTTCTTTATTTTTTCATACAAAAAGACAAATTGGAAAAACAGCTATCCTCAAAACGATATTGATCATTCTCTCTTATAGTAATAGGTAAAACTTACAGGCAGATAGATTTGCCATTTGGTTTGGTTTAATGAGTATATCTGTATCGAATTAATTACATACCCAAGCGATATTACAACTGTAATCAAAATTTTCACTAATGAGTCACTCAACAGTTTCTTTTCACAGAATTATCTGGTCAATACTATTCACTGCATATATTTGATATTATGATGCTTGGAAAAATGCGTACTCACCTGATGATGAGAATACAATAACATTCTTTGTACTTTATTTAGCTATGACGCACTCTCAAAGACAAAGACGAATCGTCGAATCAAATGCTGATGGTTTCACAACCAATAATTAATCATAAATCTCTTATTGATATGCAGCTATGCTTCTATCATTTCAAATTAGTTTTTCGTCATTTTGGGTGACAATTGTGGTTGAAGATATCGCGCACCTAATGCGATTCTTTTATTGGTATTTATACAGTTCAAGAGATCAGAGCTCAAGATCGTCGTTATTAGATTAAAAACTATTCAGTTTTAGTTATCTGATTTATTTATGAGATCTATTTTATGTCTTTTATGACTGTGCATCAGAACACTTTTGTTGACAATTCGTTGAAGTTTTATCAAACTACTTTTGTGATTGACATTGTCGATTGATTACAATTGGAAATTGAATAGCGCTTCATTCATAGTAATTTCAATAGAGATAAAACGTTTACAAATGTGTTGTTTCAATTTAGTTTTGATACATTACCTACCTAAGATAACGAGTATTCTATTAGTTCTACTATAAACAGAATTTAATTCATAAAAGAACAACACCTTTCACATCTATCCTAACATTTTGTTTTTCTTATCATTATCTTATGGCTACTCTTCTGTTTTATACTACTTTTTTGTTAGTTTGCAATGGTGTGATTACAATCGATGTCATGCGATATGCATCAGTTCAGTATTCGATTCTATATTCTGAATTTGTTGATTCGCAAGGACAATTCTATCCATATTATGGTCATCCATTAGAAAACGACTGGACATCGACGACAGCCGTTACCGGATGGACATCAGGATTTTTTCCCGGTGTGTTTTGGAACATCGTACAATACAATGCAACTCGCGAAGCCTTGAATCGTGCTCTAAGCGTCACAATACCAACAGCTGCATTTGCCAATAGTACTAGCCCATACAATGCTGGCTTTATAATCATGTCTGGTTTTGGTACTGCATATCGTCTATTAAAACTCAAAGAGTATTTAGACATTGTTATTACTGGTGCACACTCGCTTGCAACTCAATATTCTCCGACTGTTCGATGTTTACGTTCAGTCGATAGCCGAGAGGGATATTTAGTTTATGTTGATAATATGATGAATTTAGAATTACTATTTGAAGCAAGCAATCAAACAAAAGATCAATCTCTATACAATCTAGCCTGGCAACATGCTAATAGAACTATGTACGAACAATTTCGAGATGATAATAGTACTTATCATGTCGTAGAATACAATGAAACAGATGGTAGTGTTATTCGAAAATATACTGTTCAAGGTAAGAGAACTACGACGATCGAAGGCACTTTTACATTGGATTCTGCTTCACCATAGGTTATGCCGATTGGTCCACTTGGTCTCGTGGACAATCGTGGGCAATTCATGGATATACAATAGCTTATCGGTATACAAAATATCAACCATTTCTTGATAAAGCAATCGGCGCAACTAATTATGTTCTTTTTCGTCTTCCTAATGATTCAATTCCTTATTGGGATTACGATGCACCTCACAATTCAACATATCAACCGAGAGATACATCAGCAGCAGCCATATTTGCTAGTGCACTTGTTGAATTATCTGAATATATGTCAGATCCTTCCTTGAAAGATCGATATTTGTCCATTGCAAAGTCAATTGTTGATCAATTATCTGGTCCAAAGTATATGATATATGGCGATAAAGATTATAAATTATCAGCTTTACTAGCTAATGGAACAATAGGTCCTTATCCAAAGAATCCGTATGATGTCGCATTGTCTTTCGGTGATTATTACTTAACACAAACGATTGTACGTTTGATGAAATATTAATAAATTAATAGACAAGGAAACCTAACGGAATTTAATGTACTTTTGAAATGAAATGAAATTTACATTTTACAATAACGATCGTTTTCTATGCACTGATTTTTTAAAATAAAAATCAAATATGCCAAACACTTTGTACAATACGAAGAAAAGTATTTTCTCCTACTAGAGACTTGATCGCCGTCGAGAGAAGAAAACAATCGTTAATCTTCTCTTCACGGTCACTAGATAGGTTTTATTCACGTATTTTACAAAATCTGTTTTTTCAATTTCTGCGTTCGTACTATACCAAATATTCGTCGTTTCCCGAAGATCTCAGCAGATGAATTATCTACATCGACCAGTAACGATACTTAACTAGTTGCATTTAATCTAAGTCAACTGCTAGAAAATCTAAGATAGATACAGGAACGCATTTTATTGCCTTCTATACTAAGGTAATGTCAAACATGTGTAGTTATTATGTTCTCGCATGTGTTCAAGAAGACAGACACTGTTTGTGATTGATAGTTCGTTACAATAACGTCGATCTTATTATCACTATTCAAGTCACCGATTGCAATGGCATTTGCCATGAGACCAGTTGGATACTTGATTTGATCCGAAAAGCTTCGATTACCATAACCCATTAATACACTCATTGTATTGTCGCTTCTGTTAATTACTACCAAATCCAGATTGCTGTCCTTGTCTAAATCAGCCGCTACGACGGCACTAGGATATCGACCAACAGTTTTGTTCACCTGTTTAGAGAATGATCCGTTGCTATTACCAAATAGAATGACGACAACGTTGCGTGCACTGCCAGTCACGACTAAATCAAGTTGCGTGTCGTTGTCGAAATCAGCCGCTACAACTGCAGTCGGCGAACGACTCACTGGAATAGTCATGAACTTGGAAAAACTTGCGTTTCCATGTCCCAAATAGATGCTAATAGTATTGTTACTTTGATTGACAAGTACTAAATCAATTTTGCTGTCCTTATTCAAATCAACCGCAATGAAGGATATTGGTTGTGCATCAAGCATAATGTTAGTTCCATTTCGAAAGGTTCCATCTCCATTACCCATAAGTAATGATAGAGTAGGTACCGATTTGTAAATGATTGCTAAATCTAACTTAGTGTCCGTGTTAAAATCAGCTGCTACCATAGCGATTGAACCACGAATACCCACGGAATAGTATTGTGCAGGAAGGAATATAGCTGATCCGTTGTTAATTAGTACACTGATACGAGTATCATTTGCATCAGCTACCGCAAGATCAGGTTTCGTATCAACATTGAAATCAGCAGATAGGACAAAAACTGGCCCTTTACCCACTGAATATGTGAGTGGCAGCTGAAATTTTCCAGCGTCGGAACCGAACAGAAGCGTGACGGTATTATCATTCTGATTGGTCACCACTAAATCTTGTGTTTCATCATTATTGAGATCAGTATACATCAGGAATGTTGGCAATGCACCTGTCGCATACCAATCATGTACTGTAAAGTCACCCGTTCCATTGCCAAGCAAAAGATTGATTGTATTCTGATAACTGATAGTTATTATCAAATCTGAGTTTCCATCGTCATTCAAATCAGTGACTACAATGCACGTTGGGTAGTTACCGATATAGAATGACTTTGCCGAAACAAAGAAGCCAGCATTGTTTCCGAATGCAATAACGATCGAACCATCATAACCGGAAGCTGCTATTAAATCCAATATTGAATCATTATTGAAGTCACCTGCCGCCAAATATGATGGAGAATTACTCATATAAACACCACTTTGCAATACGAAGCTTCCATCCAATTGGCCAAGTAAGATGCTAACATAACCATCACTTTGAGCAGCTACTGCTAAATCTAATACAGTGTCCTTATTAAAATCGGCTGTTATTACTATCGATGGTAAATACCCGACAGTATATTCCGCTTGATACTGGAAAGTACCATTTCCCAAACCGACGAAAATCGAAATCAAATTTTCGTTGATGTTAGTCAATGCCAAGTCTGTTATGTTGTCTCGATTAAAATCGTCTACGACTGCTGACGATGATACGCGACCAACATCCAACTTGGTCACAATTGGAAACCGTCCATCGCCATCACCGAGAAATATCATTGCTACAGTATCATACTGACTAATGACGATTAAGTCCAAGATCTTATCATTATTGACATCGGCTGATTTAATAAAAATAGGAGAGTCACCGGTATCATAGTCATCCAAAGTGTTGAATATCCCCTGTCCATCATTGAGTAGTATACGGACGCTGTTCGCATCTCTATCTACGACGGCCAAATCGACAAACGTGTCATTGTCAAAATCACCTGACACCATTGCTACAGGAGCTGCAAGAGTTTCGCCTTTGACAACTTTTAAAATTCCATGTCCATCATTGAGTAAGAGACTAACGCTATCGTCCTCACCGGAGGAAACGACTACATCGACTTGACTAGTGTTTCTGAAGTGACCAACTGTTACAGAAGTTGGAGCATGTTGAACACCGTATTGATTTCCCACACGGAAAGGACTTGTGCATCGAAGTGCTACAAAATAAGGGTGAAAAATTTAATACTTTTCATAGATTCGTTTGAAACGAGTCACAGAAACGGAATAAATCTATTTGCCGATCAAGTCGTTGGCTAACACGTCTAGTTGCAAAGCATATTCTCTTAACATTCATCGTCAATTCATGAAAACTGACAAATAAGTTCTAGCTTTACTCATTTCTCTTTGGAAAACACAAGATAAAAGAAGGCTTCATACTTGTCTGAGTTAACTTTGATTTAGTACTAAGAACTAATCCAAGAACAACGCCTACGACAACCAAAAGAGCCAACGAGCATATTCCAATCATCACCTTTCTCTTCCGATACCAAGGATGTCTTGCAAGTAGAATAGAAAAAAAACAAGATGTATCGAGTGTAAAACAAAAATCAATTAGAATTTACTTTATTTTCGGATAGATATTTCCACCTAAAACAAAATATCACAGAAGTAAAGCGCTGCATATTCATCAAATTACCTGGAAACGGTAGTTCAAGTAGTTTTTCATCAGGTTTAACTTGTTTCAAATGAATGATGTGAAGTTGAGCTGCTGGAGAAAGTTGTGATTGAACAATCATATGAGTACCAGGTAAAAGTAAGATTTCATCTTCAGTAACGAAGTGTGAATGAGCTTTGATTGTTCGACCATTGATTGCTTCGACAGAGAAGAGTGTTCGATCACCTTCACTGCCCAGATACATGTTATTTTCGAGTACAGTCATCTGTGTCGTAGTTGATGAGAATGCCCACCATGTTACTCGTGTGCCTGGGGGAAAGTCACCACTCAAGTTCTTGGTCACACCTCGCCATACTGTCAATGGTGGAACACATGGTAGTTTGACAAGAGCAGTTATAAATAGTTTGAGATATCTGAAGTAGGGTAAGAGTTTCTCTCGATTCATCGTTTTGAGATGGTAGTTCATGTCTGAATATAGGCTGCGGTGTGGTTTGTTCCATTCGATTGTGTAGAGACGAATAGCAGCACTTTCATCAACTGATAATCGATCGGGTGGTTCACGGGGTGTTCCGTTCAATGCTAATTCAACATAGAATGAGAGATTATGTAGAACATCAGTCAATGGTTCGCAAGCATCAACAAGTGATAAAAGTGGTTCATCAGCATATCCTTCAATAGGACTGCTTGTGGAAGGATTTTTTGTTTTAACGTTATTATTATTTATATATATGACTTGTTGATTTGAACTCGAATTTGAATTATTGATGTGATCGGAGTCAATAGTTACACCTATTTGATTTTCTTGATGTGTCTGATCAGTTTCAAGCGGTATGGGAAGATCTTCACCCTGTGAATAGAGTCGAGAAACGTTGGATTGATCATTGAGTTCTGCTCCTGTTAATGTTGTTTGCACGCGAATATTTTTACTTTTAGCATATTTTTGAAAGATATTTGCTTCAGTGCCAACTCCAGACGCTGTTAATTCTGTTTGAACACGAATATTTTTCGTTGTTCGAGTTTGCCGAGATAATATCGTTTCATGATTGGGTATAAAACAATTATCCGGTTGGAGATGTTTATACTTGTCCATAAAAGAAATATCGATAAAATCTAAAGTGATACACGGCGATGTTAACGAGAGGAGGAAGAAGAGAGATATATGTGAATATCCCTTCGTTTTCTTTCGATCTCAATGGTGCATGAATATGATCGATAGACAGAGACATCAACATAATGATATACAAGGTAATAAAAATCAGTGTGTATATACTCGTACGTTTGCATTATAATAGATTATTGGCCAATGCGCAATAAAATAACCTTGCTTATGTATATATGAAAATATAGTCAGCATGAAAGAAACTTGTTTTAATCTATAACGATTAAATCAAGTATTTTTACCGCGCACAACATAAATAATTAAGGTTTAATCAATCGTACGTCAACGAATTTACTTATATTTTCGTAAATTGAAGGTTATTTGTTGTTATGCATCAACAAAGAGTGCCTTTTGCTTCATGATTGAAATTTAAATCGTGAATGCACTAAGTACAAACCACTCTGTAAATAGTATATAGAGAGAAATTCATGAACAATTCTGTTGTATGTGTCTGACTCACATTTGGGACAATGTTCAACATAATATCGGAATAGTTAGTGTCGTTGATGCACAGATAGTTCTGGGTAGGAAATATCATTTGAATATGAAATATTTACTGTGTATTCATTAAAATCTTGTTTTTTTTGTTTATCAAGTCTATCAAATGTTTCGAAGAAATTATACCATTCAGAATCAAATTTTCAGCCACCTTAGTGAGTACATCAGACAACAAGTATGAAGGACACATATGACAACAACAACGATAATAAGCAATACGAGAGAAGCAAGGATAGCAGAAAATGTATATCTATGAAAGGTAAACGAAATACGATTCATCATTCGTACATACTGAAAGTGCGCAGATACTCATGAGAATAGTCAGTCAGAATTATACGATGTAATCAACAGCGAACCCTTTTGAGAATGTACCTATGAATAATGTGACGAGAGTCATCGTGTGAAAAGATTACAAACGAATGATCACAGGTTCTCCTTCATAATCTTTTTCGTTATTTTCTATATGATTCGTTTCACTTTTTTGTCAATATTGTTGATAATTACGCCCTGTTTTTCGCGTAACTCAGTCACTTGTTCTGCTAACGTCCTAACAATGACGAACGACGATCGAGAAAAGAAAAAAAGAATGTACTTTTGCGTTACCTTTTCTCTTCAAATACTTTTAATAACTTTTTACACGCACAAACGTTAACCAATATATATAGTAAAGGTTACTTATGTAAAAGTACTTTTTGCAACACTCATATTTCTTTAACTATAACGTTTAACATAGCTACTAGTTGCTACGATGGCTTGTTCTGAAGAATCCAATGAATACTGGAGCTACGATGATCCATCCGAATGGCCAAAACATTTTCCATGTGCTGGTGGATCGTCTCAATCTCCAATCGACATCAACTCAAATGATGCTGTGTTCGATTCGTATCCGTTGTTCACGTTTTCTTCAAAGTACAACTCCAATGAATTGTTTACATTGACTAATAATGGCCATCAAGTTGCAGCTACATTGACTCAACGTACTTATGGACAAAGCGATGATGATCTATGGTTTACTGGCGGTGGTTTAACCGGACAGTTCTTCTTCGTCAATTTTCATTTACATTGGGGAAGAAATGATCGTCATGGTTCAGAACATGAGATTGATGGAGAACGCTTTCCTGCTGAAGCACATTTTGTTTTCAAAAATCGACAGAATAATCAATTAGCTGTATTTGCATTTCATTTCGTTATTGCTGATCAATGGGATGAAGAAAATACAGAATGGGAAAAGTATGCAGATGCAGCAAGTGAACTCGTCAATGTCAACGACACGATGAATTGTTCATTTAATCTGAGTCGATTGATGAAAGCTAATGAAAGAGAATATTTTCGATATATGGGTAGTTTGACAACACCGCCTTGTAGTGAAAATGTCATCTGGACAGTTTTTATCGATAAAATTCCGATTGTGGAAGAGAGTTTAAACGAACTTCGTCAGAATCTAATGAAAAAGGTCTATCGACCAGTTCAGCCGATAAACGATCGTACGGTTTACAGAAATTATGTCAACTGAAAGTATGATATTCACTGTTGTGTAGCTTGTGCGCTTTACTTTTTCATTAAAAATCAGTATTGACATGTTCACTTCATCGGAATAATAACATTTTTTGAAGTATTTCTCAAGAGAAAGTCGATCATTTCTATGTCGTTGTTGATCGAGATGGATAAGGACGTGAGAGTTATTTTTAGAATGTAACTTCATCGTTTCGATGGAATGATAACGGGTAATAGCTGCAATAAAGTCTTTTATTCACTCATAGAATTTTTTAAGTGTACACATGAAAAAAAAACAATGTTATTAAGATGTAGTTATTATATTCTCGCACGTATTTAGAAAAACAGATACTGTTTCTGATTGATAATTTGTTATAACTACATCGATTTTATTGTCATTATTCAAATCACCAATCGCAGCAGCACTTGGAGTGAGACTTGTTGCGTATTTTGTTTGATTTGAAAAACTTCGACTTCCATAGCCCATCAACACACTCATAGAATTGTCACCTCTATTAACTACTATCAAATCTAGCAGATTGTCTTTATCTAAATCTGCTGTTACTAAGGCAATGGGATATCTACCAACAGTTTTATTGACTTGGGTAGAAAATGTTCCATTTCCATTGCCAAATAAGATCGTGACGGTATTCCGAGCACTACTAGTTATTGCTAAATCGACTTGATTGTCATTATCAAAATCAGCTGACACAATTGCAGTTGGTGATCGACTTACTGAAATATTGGTGAACTTCGAGAAAGTTGTATTTCCATATCCAAGATATATACTGATACTGCTGCTAAATTGGCTAAGAACTATCAAGTCAATTTTGTTATCCTTATTCAAATCAGCGACGATGATCGCTGTTGGTAGTGTATCAAGATCAATCTTATTTCCAGTTTGAAAAGTTCCATTTCCATTACCTAGAAACAGTTGAATAAGAGTTGGATAACTATAAATCACTGCCAAATCTAATTTGGAATCCATATTGAAATCAGCTGTTGCTAAAGAGAGTGGACCATAATAATCATCAACTGAATACTGTGTTTCAGGAAGAAATATATTCGATCCATTGCCAATGAGTATACTAATGGCAGTGTCATTTGAATTAGCGACGGCAAGATCTAATTTCTTGTCATTGTTGAAATCAGCAGATATAATAAAGACGGGTGCTACACCAACTGAATATGTGAGTGGAAAATGAAACTTCCCTTTGTTATAACCATACAGAAGAGTGACAGTATTGTCATCTTGATTACTTATGGCCATATCTTTTTTCTTATCATTATTTAGATCAGCATATATAAGAAATGATGNTCAATTGAAGGAATGGATTATCTTAAGACAAGTTCAATTATCTAAACAAGGCGAACAATGCTTATGTGGAAAAGCAAACTTGAAATTCATCACTTATTTAAAGAATATTCACAACAAAAAGTTAATTATTGCAGGGAATTGTTGCTTATTGACATTTCGTAAATTTCGTTTGTAAAAAAAGCTGCTCGTTCTATTTATTTTATTTTTTTTTCCGAGTAAATTTCACGAAATAACAATTCAACACACTGATCTCTCATCGGAATGACCATTTCATTTCACACACATTCCATAATTTAATGAATACTCAATAAGATAATATACCTACTCATTGTTTCAACATTGATTGATGTGTTTGCCTACGGAGTGAAAGATAAGAACGCGATTAACATAATCATTTGTTTCCTTCAAATGTGATGAAACATATGACTACTTGAGTTTTTCTCATCATCTTGTCCTTTTTTCCCAAGTACATTCTCTGGCAATGATAACGTTCAACTTTCATAATAAAACGCCAGAGAAAATGCTCGGTTTTATTCAACTTCGACATTTGAAGAGCGCGGCGAAGGTAAGTGTTCAGTTGTCACTTGATTACTTGCTATGCAACATGCAGATTTCATTTTTCGCCAACATCTCTTCCTTAAAGTAAATGACACTTGATGACGGTACCGTGATGATACAATCATAAAAACGAAACAACTGAACTAGAAAATCAAAAAATTCAATATGAATCGAGGGTGACGGTTAAAAAGACTCTACCGAATTATTGAATCCAATGCCGGATGTAACAATTGCTTGAAACAAACGTCTGATTGCATACGATAACGATTGATTTGGAACAATAGGAAAATTTACAGCATAAATACGAAAGAGTGTGTAGGGTAGAAGAAGGCTCACTAGCATCACTACACGCATGAGAACCATCGCCGTCATCTGTTGATCTAATCGCCGTCGGGCTATGGGAAGTTGTCGACGGACTATACGACGAACATTTCGAAAGGCTAAAATATTGAACAAGGATGCAATGCAGATCGGTAATAAGCCAACTAAAGCTGGATAAAAGAAATATGTAGAATATTGCAGCGCTATTGGATTTAATATGACACATCCAACTGGTGGTTGAATTTCGAAGAACGTCACGAATATGATACTATGAGTGAGCCAAATACACGCAAATATAACGGTCAGATATCGAGCCAATGGAATTGTACAGATATTTCTTAAATTGAATTGATAATTCGTCGAAAGAAATTGATCGCAAGCAGCAAAGCATAGTGTATACGATGTAATCAATGATATTGTTTGACTTACTGTGTAACGAAAGCGGCACCAGATAAGGTTCGTTCCAGTTGCATCATCACCGCGTAAAAGTATTAAAATATTGACAGCGATAGAAAGGAACTGACTAAAAAAGTTCGCCGTGGATTCAACTGCCAAATAGAAAGCGGATCGATTGTTTCGAAAGAGTTTTAGTCCAGTTAATGTAAGAATATTGAGAGCATTACCAATTACACCAACGACGATTGAAAGGTAGCCCGCATACAGAGAATACTGTATAGAAAATGCCACGATATCTTGCGACATTGATGACGATCTAACGAAACAGTTTTATATTACAGACTTAGCATGAAAAAGACGTATATGAAAAAAAGAGAATGATAGATGGTGTTGCATTTATTTGAAAAAAAAAACAACTATAGATAATCTGTAGGATTATATAAACATCTTTGAGATTAGTACGCGTTGATGTGACTTGCAGTCAATTTGGTTAATAAATTTTAATCATTCGATAATTCTCTCCTTATTCTATCCAAGAGAAGATTCTTTCTCGGAAAGCTGATAACATTCTGTAACCACGACTCGTGTCCTTTTACGTACTTTCCTGATCTCATAATGAAGCACGCGCAATACACAGCTACTGAAAAAGATTAAGAGAACAAAGAACGCGTTCAAATATTCCTACTAACAGAGTACGCACGGATATTATGAACATTAGCAGCAACGCATCTTTTACCATAATCAAAAAAGAAAGCACACATCATACTTTTATAGGATTAGAATGGAATACGGGTACATAATTTACTGAAACGATTATACTTAAAAAGTCGACATTAATCGAATAAGATTAATCTCACTATTGTATTGTTTCCACATATAAAAGATGTAGATGAGTGCTCAACGAGACTTACTGTCAGATAATGCGAGATAGTTACATTGACCGGAATCAAATCTTTCGCAGTTTCTTTTCTTTATCGTGTCTCTTCTCTGGGACAAGTGTTTCACATTTAATGTACTCCTAATTATTCATTCATACTCAACCGTTGCCTTTTGTTTGAACTATTGTGAAATAACTCAGCAGAATATGTCAAATTAATCCTCAAACATCGACGTTTTATCATATTATTTCATTGCTCGAAGAGCAGTCTCGCGTAAAGATGAGTCTCGTTGGTTAATTTAAAAAGCAGTCCCACTAGTCTTTCTCTCAGTTATTAAAATAACGCAACGACAACACGTGCTGCGCTGACTTTTAGATTACTTTTATATTGTAATCTTTTCGTGTCTGGAGGAAACAAGTCTAATAACGATGGCAATCGAACGATAAGGAGATAGTTTGAGCGGATTGCTCGGATACGCTGTTCTTTCTCTACCTCTGACACAATCACAGTCTCGCACAATGAAAACATCTTCGCTCACTTCTGCTTTGCTACTGATATGATCCCAATTCGGACTTCTTTTGTAAGTCATGCTATACCTACGAACTACTAGAAGGTTTCCTTAGATAATTATTGCTCGTGCGGGCAAGGCAAAGTCATCGTCTGGGATGTCTGAAGGCGGTCAATTCAATCTTAGTGACGCATTCTGATAGATCCTACGGCACAAATGTCGCTGAGAATATATGTTCTGCATGGCTTCCGTAATATACGCCTGCGTTTCTACATACTGAGGGATTAATTGGATAACTATGAAATGCGATCCATTATGTTCATCGAATGAAGTGGAATTATTCATAGCTGAGAAAGAAAAGTTTTCATAAATCACACTACATATCCCTATTTTTTGTCCGCTATCATTAGACTAGCAACAAATCACTATACAGTGGATATCAATCGTGAATGCTCTTCGAGAAAGCTAAGATTTCATCTGTTCGACAACAATAACAAGTGGAGCGTAGAATATAGCCCACTGTCTTTGAATAATATACGGAAAAAAGATAAAAGATATAAGGACAATACCTAACATGAAAAATTACAGTTACAAATAAATAAAGATCAGCGGGAAGAATCGAACTAGCTATGTCATTCTTTTATTTACTGGAGATTTTTTCTTCGCATTGCACACCGTGATTTAGTTTGTATGAGAAGAATGTTGTTCGTGCCATTTATGTATTCATTGAACAGAACAAAGCATTGTGGTACCTATAAAGTGAGCCACTGGCTCTATATTGGCGATATACTCGGTGCAGGAAATTACGGTGTAATGGTTTATCCATGTGCAATGAGAGGGATAAGATAAAACATTTTTGCTTTGCATCTAGTTAAATGGACCTGTGTACTTCGATAAAAGAAAAATTCGAATCGATTTTAATCGCGCTCTTTGTCTGAAAATGTGCACATGAAATTGGATAAAACTTTTGATTTATCTGTTCTTGAACATCGACTACACTAGGAGTCATTCATATGTACCTATGTTTATTTTTGTTCGAAAAAAAAGCTCCATACGATACGATGCGAATGACGCAATCCACACATATTAACATTTCACCGTGTTATTTAACTGTAAAACGAAAAGGTGACCTAAATACATTAAATATAATCCAATAAAGGTAATTACACTTCAAACATGCATCAAAATGGTGTTATTAAAACCTGCGTTTCACTGGATTTTGAAGCACTGCTGTAACTATAACATTTTCGCACCTTGGGAAAATGACTAAATGTTTTTGTCGCTCAGTCAATCACATTCCACCCTGTTTGTTCGAGCTCTTTCGTCACCAAAGAATGGACCGAAACATTAATTATATATACCAACTATGCAAGTCGGTATGATACGTCGGATTTTTGAACGACGGTCAGTTCTCAAGTGAACGTCTAGATAGAGACACGTCTTCCATGTAATTTTCTTACGATTTCATATCTAAAATAACTTGAGACACCTACGAAAGCAAATTCCTTGGTATCAGCTCTCAATACAGATTTCTTTCTTTTCATTGGGGGTAATTATCCACATGATGAAGCTATTGTCTCTAGTGCGATTGTTTGTTTGTATAATACCAACTGTTTGAAAGTATTGCACTACTACCTTCCATCTCTGCATCGAATTTTAAACTCAATCGAAATAATCGATGTTGAGAGTTAGAGATATTTTGTTATGCAGAGATGTCTGTTGGTTGGTCCAGCCATGTTGTATATAGTGAACAACAAAATATGTTTGCATACAAGCATCTAATGAATCTATTTATTGATGATTGGTCAACGAAAATCAATTGTTTGCAATATTTTGACGAATGCGTCCCGTCATTTTGCACGTATATAGCAACAAATTCAATCAATGCTTCTCTTGCATTCACCCTACTAACCAGTCTGTATCGTGGTCTTACACGTTAATCTTTCATCTCGTTGAATTAGTATTTCTTAAAACTGTATTCAAATGACAGTGGAGAGAAACGATCAATAGTTCCGGTAACTGTAACATACAATACAGACGGTCGATTGCACAGGTAAATTTAATCAAAGATAAGAATAAACGAACGGAAAACAATAACCAAACGTCTGAAAATCGTCACTGACTACTTTCAACGGCCATCTTCGATTGTATTGTTGTACGAAATGTTTCTTCTCACATAAGCATTGATTTATGACGATCAATGCTCTTCCGTATTGTACAACTTAAACAAACTTTATTGAAACAGATCCTTCAAAATTGATTCCAATTGAAGGCTTAAAAAATGTGTTGTACGCCGAGTGAATCATTCCTTGCATCGATTCTCGGATGCTTTTACCATCAAACATATATTCGTCTTCTTCAAGTCTACTACTGACAACATGAAGTCAATTTCCAAAAACCACAACTATTACCAAATTAACCGATGATCTGTTTGTCGAGCAATGAATAACAACTAATAATTATTCATCTTGCCTTCAATAATGTGCACTTTCATTATGATCATACATTTACATTCAAAACTTTGAGTTACTTTACACAATTACTCTGATACTTGGTCTTGAAGGCGGTTTAATAATCATTCGTTTATGGAATAGCACAAATATCCGGGATCCTTCCCATAATTCATTATTTCGATACTCTTTGACGATGATTATCGTCTGTATGCTTGTAGTATTAATATTATTAGCTTTTACAATGCCTTCAATTCACATATCATGCTAAACAATTTTAATTAACTCGAGATCATCTCGAAATATCCTTTTATCTGTTAGATCAAATATGAAAAGTAATATGTCTGGCGATGCTTAATCGATCTTGTCAATTAATACCCAGAACTTCATATTATATATTGTTTTTTTGACCTCTCGAGTGACGCGCGATGAAATGATGGTTTCAAAAATAGAAGTTTCTTCTTACTTATCCTTAAGGTTAGTATAATCGAGGGAAGAAAGCACGCGCTTTTCTGAATTTTAAATGGGGGTTATTGCGTCTATATTTGTTCTTCGTCGTCGATAAAGAAAAACACAAAATGTTTTTTTCTTTCTCTTATATATTATATATGCATATCGACAGACGGTCTGTCTTCTCTTGACAGAAAGAATGAAAAAAAAGTATCTTTTCACTGGTGCTTTTCTCTTTCTGTTCAGATTACGCTCTTCTGTCACGAAGGTTCACCAGGTTCTACCGTCAATTTATCAAACCTATTCTTTAACTCGTTTTAACTTCAAAATAAATTAACACGAGAAAACGATGGCATCAGAATGTAAGATTTGCCATGCACCAGCACAAATCAGTTACTACGGATGCATTGCATGTGCACCGTGCAAAATATTCTTTCGACGAAATGCTAAAAAGCAGGACTGTTTCATAGAACTTATTCGCGTGATTTTCATGCACATTTGCTTGTAGAAGGAATTACAATGTCCTTTTGATAATAATTGTGAAATTAATGTCAACACTCGTCACACGTGTTCAGCTTGCCGGTTAAAGAAATGTGTTGAGAGCGGCATGGAAATTGAGAGAATTAGAGCCAGTTATTCAGTCACAAGTAAAAGCAAAGCTGTAGTACCGAAAACAGTAGCAAACGTAAGAAAATAATTATGCTGATAATCGATGAGAAGAAGAATTTGAAATTTTAGTTACAAGTGGTGAATTTGTTGGACGCCGATCGATCGGATATCAATGCTAATCAATGGACTCTCCTTTCGAATTTATTATCATGTTATGACGAATACAGTGGATTGATTATTGGTCGAAATTTTATGACCGAACAAAATAAAATGCCAGCGAGAATACGTTTTAAACCTTCGTCGATCATTCATCTGTTCCAGTTGTTACTTGCCGATGGTCAGTTGCTATACACAAAGAACCGAGATTTTCTTGCGTTATCGACAGAAGATCGTTCGATTTTGATAGAGAATACGCTTATATATACAACGGCGAGTTCAGTGAATTTTATCAATTCACAAATAGGAATTATGGATTTATCTATATTTTATGAAGCAATGGGAGTCATTAGTAATCCAGGTTCAATTACAATTATGAAACGTATTGCTTCACACATGATATCTGACCATGTGATGATGAAATTGTGCTTAGCCATTATGTCTTTTTCGACTTTACGACCAACGTTCTCTCCGACTGATTCGTCCAAGCAGTTCTCAAGTTTAAATGCGATTTTGAACATTCAAGATAGTTACATCGAATTAGCATGGCGATATTTGATTTACACCTACAAATTAGAATGGACTGTTCGATGTTTTTCTGATATGATCCGATTTCTATTTATCATAAATGAAGGCGTTGTTCAAAGCAAAGAAGTCGAATGGTACCATGACACACTGGATTCTGTTACTCAACAAACGAAAGACTGTCTCACCGTTAGTGACTAATTGTTGTGTTTGTTATCGTTTTGTTGCGAAATAAAAGATTCAACTGAAGAAGCTTCAGTTTAAAGAAACATTCTCTTAGCTTTCCTTGCAAGCAAAACAATTAGGATGGAGGAAATCGATATTTGTGTATGACAAGCTCGACTGCATCGTTCAGGTTCTAGATCTTGATACTTTGGTAAAGCGGCGAACGTTTCGGCTATGATGAAAGGACTTTGACCGTACGTGACACCTCGAGCAGTGCTATCATAAAAGCTTTGCCATTGAGCTACTAATTGAGGTGTCCATTTGATTTTTACCAGTATCTCCTGCAATGCAGTCTCGTCGAAATTTTCTCTAAAACAGGAGAAAATATATTTTGTATCTGAGAATAAAGAATCGAAGATTTACACCGATACGTTCAGAAAACGTTTCCATGCTGACCAGTCGTTGTGCGTCAAACACATGGATAAGTTATTCATTCGAGGATAATAGACGAAACCATGGATACACATTTCGTCTTTCGTTCGCCCTCCACCCTAAAAAGCGTTACAAAAATTATTCTATCGGAAGAAGACAGTTTTACTTTACCCTGGTTGTTAGGTTTTTATTTCTTGTATCATAAATACAACGAGTGGCAAACTCATCGCCCTACAAGATACGAACAATGAAATACTTGGCTGTTAAAAAAGAAACTAAACTGGATAGATTTGAATTGGCTTCGGGAAGCGATTATGAAATTGATAGTTGAAATTATAGGCTTCACTGTTGAACAAATACCGAACAGCAGTTCTGTTTCTAATCAGTTTTGTCCATACACTTTGACCTATTTTTTTATAAAGTAAAGCTCACAAGCTTTATCCGAACGACTGGTTTACCTTGAAGATGTGTGTGAGGCAACGCACAAAATACTGTGATGCCAGACTTTGGAATATTCTAAAGGAAGAATACAAGAAAATGAAATGTTTTTGAATTTTCCGGAGATACATACAAGACTCGCACTGGCAGGACAATATGAATCGACGATGAATCGATCCGCTCCTGCTGGAATGGCTAAAGCTTGCGCTGTCGAGTCCGTGCCGAACGTTAGATAACCAATATCGTGTTCACGAAGTTTATCACCAAGATAGAATCGAACACCAGTCGTATCGCGTCGATCTAAACACGAAGAACATCTTGAATTCGCTAGATAAAGTCGTTCTCTACTTGAAATCAAATGTGGATTGTCATAATGCAATTCTATCATATAGTAGTTGACAGTAAAATCACCACCAATAGGATACCCGGCCTCTTCGGGATACGTCATGATCTAATTAAAGTGATCCTGATGTTTCAACGAGATGAAGGTGATTCTTACTTCATCACCACCGACAGACCACACAGTGACAACAGTTGATGAGCACAATGAGATTTGATCGCGAATATCATCGCACACGCCATCCGGTAGATTCGTGTTGTCGAATTGAGCCGAAGGATCACACTCATAAATATTCATGTGATGGACAAATTCACGACTGTCTGAATCCAGTAAAATTTTGTGCTACAAAGACAGAAGTCAATGACAACATGCGAATGAAAACAAATCTGACATACTGCGATCACATGCCGTTTCGTTGGATACGTAATTTGTGTCTTAAATACTCTGCAATAGTAAGTTGTATCCGCAACAGGAACTAGATATTGACAAATGTATAGCCAAAAAGAGTAAAGCTAATTAGTCGTACCGGAATGATTTATGCGAAGTTCGAATGAATCAAGATCAGCGTACTCGGTTTCCGGGAGTTGATCAATATAATATCGAAGTGGTAGTATGCGACTACCCCGTCGACTCTCATGATAACTTATTTCACCATTTGCATCAGGATCCACCAGTCCGTATGCATAGATGAGTATATTGGTTCCGGACTAAACCAATCAATCTGCCGTTAAATCAATAAAGAACTTCTCGATTACTTTTATTGGAACATCCATTGAATCACATGTTTCAAGCAGACGACGAAATTGAATGGCTGTCCATCCATCCTGTTCGCGTCCTTGGACAGCGAACCAGTCTGTTGTTGTATAATCAATAACAGGCCGTGAACGATTGTACGCGTATCGATCCTGAATACGCTTACTTATGGAAGTCATAGACAATATTCGTATACTATACTTGAAATTGAACAGTGCCCATCTGATCTATCCATCCAACACCAATATCAGCACCTGCCATCCCACCAGCTAAACATTTTCAAATCAGTTACCTATCGAGTTAATATGATTCTTTTCTACCTGCACTAATACCCAAAGCAATCCAGCCTGTAGTTTTCACGTGCAATTCAAATACAATTTCACGCTCAGCATCATCAATTGTCCACCACAGATCCGAAATATTGACTTGCAGTTCGGTGGAATGTTTATACTCAGTAAAAGGCTGTATAGGACTGGAAAGACTATTGGATCTCTTCAGTATTATAAACGAAACGAACACTCGATATATAAAGCACGTCCACATCATCTAAAACTGAACCGCGTAATAGTGCAAAGAACGTATTATCTGTCATTTTATCCAAACTGAATAGAAGAATTCAGTTTTGTCATGAGAATGATGTTTTATTGGCTTGTATTTGCAAACATAAAAGAGAGAACACTAAAGATGATTTTGCGTTTCTTTTCTCAGTTTTATTATCAGAAGCCGTAAAAAGTCGAAAGATACTTATGTAGAACAAAGTACATTGCTATAGATGTTTTCGAAAAATGTTGGACGCTATAACGAACATGATCGGTTTATTGCAGCAATATCTTTTCTCGTATGATCGTTTCTTTATTTTTTCATACGAAAAGACAAAGTTGAAAAACAGCTATCCTCAAAACGGTATTATTCATTCTCTCTTGTAGTAGGCTGGGTAAAACTTACAGACAGGTAGATTTGCCGTTTGGTTTAATGAGTATATCTGTATAGAATTAATTACATACTCAAGCGATATTACAACTGTTATAAAAATTTTCACTGATGAGTCACTTCATAGTTTCTTTTCACAGAATTATCTGGTCAATACTACTCATTGCACATATTTGATATCATGATGCTGGGAAAAATGCGTACTCACCTGATGATGAGAATACAATAGCATTCTTTGTACTTTATTTAGCTGTGATGCACTCTTAAAGATAATAACGCATCATCGGATCAAATGATGGTGATTCCACAACTAATAATTAGTCATAAACCTGTTATTGATATGCAGCTTATGCTTCTATCATCTCAAATTAGTTTTTCATCATTTTGGATAACAATTGTGGTTGAAGATATCGCGCATCTAATGCGATTATTTTATTGGTATTTATACAGTTCAAGAGATCATAGACTCAAGATTGTCGTTATTAGATTAAAAACTAATCAATTTTAGTTATCTGATTTGTTGATGGGGTCTATTTTATGTCTTTTATGACTGTGCATCAGAATACTTTTGTTAGCAATTCATTGAAATTTCATCAAATTACTTTGTGACTGACATTGTCGATTGATTACAACTGGAAATTGAACAGCGCTTCATTCATAGTAATTTCGATGGAGATAAAACGTTTACAAATGTGTTGTTTCAGTTTAGTTTTGATACATTACCTACCTAAGATAACAAGTGCTCTGTTAATCATACTATAAACAGAATTTAATTCATCAAAAAACACACCTTTCACATCTGTCCTAACATTTTTCTATTCTTATCATTATCTTATGGCTACTCTTCTGTTTTATATCACTTTTTTGTTACTTTACAATGGTGTGATTACAATCGATGTCATGCGATATGCATCAGTTCAGTATTCAATTCTGTATTCTGAATTTATTGATTCACAAGGACAATTCTATCCTTATTATGGTCATCCATTAGAAGAAGACTGGACATCGACGACAGCCGTTACCGGGTGGACATCAGGATTTTTTCCCGGTGTGTTTTGGAACATCGTACAATACAATGCAACTCGCGAAGCCTTAAATCGTGCTCTAAGTGTCACGATGCCTACAGCTGCATTTGCCAATAGTACTAGCCCATATAATGCTGGTTTTATAATCATGTCTGGCTTTGGTACTGCATATCGTCTATTAAAACTCAAAGAGTATTTAGACATTGTTATTACTGGTGCACACTCGCTTGCAACTCAATATTCACCGACTGTTCGATGTTTACGTTCAGTCGATAGCCGAGAGGGGTATTTAGTTTATATTGATAATATGATGAATTTAGAATTACTGTTCGAAGCAAGCAATCAAACAAAAGATCAATCTCTATACAATCTAGCTTGGCAACATGCTAATAGAACTATGTACGAACAATTTCGAGACGATAATAGTACTTATCATGTCGTAGAATACAATGAAACAGATGGTAGTGTCATTCGAAAATATACTGTTCAAGGTAAGAGAACTACGATGATCGAAAGCACTTGTAAATTGAATTCTACTTCACCATAGGTTATGCTGATTGGTCCACTTGGTCTCGTGGGCAATCGTGGGCAATTCATGGATATACAATAGCTTATCGGTATACAAAATATCAACCATTTCTTGATAGAGCAATCGGCGCAACTAATTATGTTCTTCTTCGTCTTCCTAATGACTCAATTCCTTATTGGGATTACGATGCACCTTACAATTCAACATATCAACCGAGAGATACATCAGCAGCAGCCATATTTGCTAGTGCACTTGTTGAATTATCTGAATATATGTCAGATCCTTCCTTGAAAGATCGATATTTGTCCGTTGCAAAGTCAATTGTTGATCAATTATCCAGTCCCAACTATATGATATATGGTGATAAAGATTATAAATTATCAGCTTTACTAGCTAATGGAACAATAGGTCCTTATCCAAAGAATCCGTATGATGTCGCATTGTCCTTTGGTGATTATTACTTAACACAAACGATTATACGTTTGATGAAACATCAATAAACTAATACACAAGGAAACCTAACAGAATTTAATGTAGTTTTGAAATGAAATGAAATTTATATTTTACAACAACGATCGTTTTCTATGCACTGCTTTTTTAAAATAAAAGTCAAACATGCCAAACACTTTGTACAATATGAAGACAAGTATTTTTTCTTACTGGAGACTTGATCGCCGTCGAGAGAAAAGAAAACAATCATTAATCTTCTATTCACGTATTTTACATAATCAGTTTTTTCAATTTCTGCGGTCGTACTATACCGAATATTCGTCTTTTTCCGAAGATTCCAGCAGATGAATTATCTACATCGGCCAATAGCAATGCTTAACTAGTTATATTTAATCTGAGTCAACTGCTAGAAAACCTAAGATAGATACAGCAATGTATTTTATTGCCTTCTATACCAAGATAATGTCAAGCATGTGTAGTTATTATGTTCTCGCATGTGTTCAAGAAGACAGATACTGTTTGTGATTGATAGTTCGTTACAATAACGTCGACCTTATCATCATTGTTCAAGTCACCGATTGCCACGGCATTTGCCATGAGACCAGTTGGATATTTGATTTGATCCGAAAAGCTTCGATTTCCATAACCCATCAATACACTCATTGTATTGTCGCTTCTGTTAATTACTACCAAATCTAGATTGCTGTCCTTGTCTAAGTCAGCCGCTACGACGGCAGTAGGATACCTACCAACAGATTTGTTCACCTGTTTAGAGAATGATCCGTCGCCATTACCAAATAGAACCATGACAACGTTGCGTGCACTGCCAGTTACGGCTAAATCAAGGTACGTGTCGTTGTCGAAATCAGCTGCCACAACCGCAGTCGGCGAACGACTCACTGGAATAGTTATGAACTTGGAAAAACTTGCGTTACCATGTCCCAAATAGATGCTAATAGTATTGTTATTTTGATTGACAAGTACTAAATCAACTTTACTATCCTTATTCAAATCAACTGCAATGAAGAATATTGGTTGTGTATCAAACATAATGTTAGTTCCATTTCGAAAGGTTCCATCTCCATTACCCATAAGTAATGACAGAATAGGTACAGATTTGTAAATGATTGCTAAATCTAACTTAGTGTCCGTGTTAAAATCAGCTACTGCCATAGCGATTGAACCACGAGTACCCACTGAATAATATTGTACGGGAAGCAGTATAGCTGATCCATTGTTAATTAGTACACTGATACGAGTATCGTTTGCATCAGCCACCGCAAGATCAGGTCTTGTATCAGCATTGAAATCAGCAGATATGACAAAAACTGGCCCTTTACCCACTGAATATGTGAGTGGAAGATGAAATTTTCCAGCGTCGGAACCAAACAGAAGCGTGACGGTATTATCATTCTGATTGGTCACCACTAAATCTTGTATTTCATCATTATTGATATCAGTATATACCAGAAATGTTGGCAATGTGCCTGTCGCATACCAATCTTGTACTGTAAAGTCACCCGTTCCATTGCCAAGCAAAAGATTGATTGTATTCTGATAACTGATAGTTATTATCAAATCTGAGTTTCCATCGTCATTCAAATCAGTGACTACAATGCACGTTGGGTAGTTACCGATATAGAATGACTTTGCCGAAACAAAGAAACCAGCATTGTTTCCAAATGCAATAATTATCGAACCATCATAACCGGAAGCTGCTATTAAATCCAATATTGAATCATTATTGAAGTCTCCTGACGCCAAATACGATGGAGAGTTACTCATATAAACACCACTTTGCAATACGAAGCTTCCGTCTAATTGGCCAAGTAAGATGCTAACATAACCATCACTTTGAGCAGCTACTGCGAAATCTAATACAGTCTCCTTATTAAAATCGGCTGTTCTTACTATTGATGGTAAATATCCGACAGTATATTCCGCTTGATATTGGAAAGTACCATTTCCCGAACCGACGAAAATCGAAATCGCATTTTCGTTGATGTTAGTCAACGCCACGTCTGTTTTGTTGTCTCTATTAAAATCGCCTACGACTGCTGACGATGATACGCGACCAACGTCCAACTTGATCACAATTGGAAAGTGTCCATCGCCGTGGCCGATAAATATCATTGCTACAGTATCATATTGACTAATGACGATTAAGTCCAAGATCTTATCGTTATTGAAATCGGCTGATTTAATAACAATAGGGGAGTCACCGGTGTCATAGTCATCCAAAGTGTTGAATATCCCCTGTCCATCATTGAGTAGTATACGGATACTGTTTGCATCTCTATCTACGACGGCCAAATCGACATATGTGTCATTGTCAAAATCACCTGATACCATTGCTACAGGAGCTCCAAGAGTTTCGCCTTTGAGAACTTGTAAAATTCCATGTCCATCATTGAGTAAGAGACTAACGCTATCGTCCTCACCGGAGGAAACGACTACATCGACTTGATTAGTGTTTCTGAAGTGACCAACTGCTACAGAAGTTGGAGTATGTTGAACACTGTATTGATTTGCCACGCGGAAAGGACTTGTGCATCGAAGTGCTACAAAATAAGGGTGAGGATGAGGATGAGGGTGAAAATTTGAATACTTTTTATAGATTCGTTTGAAAAGTGTCATAGAAATTGAATAAACCTACTTGCCGATCAAGTCGTCGGCTAACACGTCTAGTTGCGAAGCATTTTCTCTCAACATTCATCGTCAGTTCATGAGAATTGATACATAAGTTCTAACTATAGTCATTTCTCTCTGCAAAATACAAGATAAAAGTAGACTTCATACTTGTCTCAGTCAATTTTGATTTAGTACCAAGAACTAATCCAAGAACAACACCTACGATAATTAAAAGAGCCAACGAGCATATTCCAACCATCACCTTCCTCTTCCGATACCAAGGATGTCTTGCAAGTGAAATAGAAAAAGAACAAGATGTATCGAGTGTAAAACAAAAACCGATCAGAATTTACTTTATTTTCGGGTAGATATTTCCACCTAAAACAAAAAATATCATGGAAGTAAAGCGCTGCATGTTCATCAAATTACCTGGAAACGGTAGTTCAAGTAGTTTTTCTTCTGGTTTCATTTGTTTCAAATGAATGATGTGAAGTTGAGCGGCTGGAGAAAGTTGTGATTGAACAATCATATGAGTACCAGGTAAAAGCAAGATCTCATCTTCAGTGACAAAATGTGAATGAGCTTTGATTGTTCGACCATTGATTGCTTCAACTGAGAAGAGTGTTCGATCACCTTTACTGCCCAGATACATGTTATTTTCGAGTACAGTCATCTCTGACGTAGTTGATGAGAATGCCCACCATGTCACTCGTGTGCCTGGGGGAAAGTCATCACTCAAGTTCTTGGTCACACCTCGCCATACTGTCAATGGTGGAACACATGGCAGTTTGACGAGAGCAGTTATAAATAGTTTGAGATATCTGAAGTATGGTAAGAGTTTCTCGCGATTCATCGTTTTGAGATGGTAGTTCATGTCTGAATATAGACTGCGATATGGTTTGTCCCATTCGATTGTGTAGAGACGAATGGCAGCACTTTCGTCAACTGATAGTCGGTCGGGTGGTTCACGAGGTGTTTGATTCAATGCTAATTCAACATAGAATGAGAGATTATGTAGAACATCAGTCAATGGTTCGCAGGCATCAACAAGTGATAAAAGTGGTTCATCAGCATATCCTTCAATAGGACTGCTTGAGGAAGGATTTTTTGTTTTAACGTTATTATTATTTATATCTATGACTTGTTGATTTGAACTCGAATTTGAATTATTGATGTGATCGGAGTCAATAGTTATATCTGTTTGATTTCCTTGATGTGTCTGATCAGTTTGATGCAGTATGGGAAGATCTTCACCCTGTGAATAGAGTCGAGAAACATTGGATGGACCATTGAGTTCTGCTCCTGTCAATGTTGTTTGCACGCGAATATTTTTACTTTTAGCATACTTTTGAAAGATATTTGCTTCAGTGCCAACTCCAGACGCTGTTAATTCTGTTTGAACACGAATATTTTTCGTTGTTCGATTTTGCCGAGATAATATCGTTTCATCATTGGGTATAAAACAATTATCCGGCTGAAGATGCTTATACTTGTCCATGAAAGAAATATCGATAAAATCTAAAGTGATACACTATGATGTTAGCGAGAGGAAGAAGAGAGATACATGTAAGTATCCTTTCGTTTTCTTTCGATCTCAATAGTGCATGAATATGATCGATAGACAGACACATCAACATAATGATATACAAGGTAATAAAAATCATTGTGTGTATACTCGTACATTTGCATTATAATAGATTATTGGCCAATGCGCAATAAAACAACCTTGCTTACACATATATCAAAATATAGTCAGTGTAAAAGAAAATTGTTTTAATCTATAACGATTAAATCAAGTATTTTTACTGCGCACAACGTAAATAATTAAGGTTTAATCAATCGTACGTCAACGAATTTACTTATATTTTCGTAAATTGAAGGTTATTTGTTGTTATGCATCAACAAAGAGTGCTTTTTACTTCATGATTGAAATTTAGATCGCGAATGCACTAAGTACAAACCACTCTGTGAATATTTATATAGAGAGACATTCATGAACAATTCTGTTGTATGTGTCTGACTCATATTTGTGATAATGTTCAACATAATATCGGAATAGTTTGTGTCGTCGATGCACAGATGGTTCTGGAGAGAGAATGTCATTTGAATGTAGAATATTTACTATGCATTCATAAAAACTTTCTCTTTCTATTTATCAAATCTTGAGGATGTTTCGAAGAAATAATACCATTCATAACCAAATTTTCAGCCATCTTAGCGAGTACACCAGACAACAAATATGAAGGACACATATAACGACAACAACGATAATAAGCAACACGACAGAAGCAAGGATAGTGGAAAATGCATACCTATCAAAGGTAAACGAAATATGATTCACCATTCGTACATACTGAAAATGCGTAGATGCTCATAAGAATCGTGAATCAGAATTATACGATGTAATCAACAGCGAACCCTTTTGAGAATGTACCTATGAGTCATCGTATGAAAAGATTACAAACAAATGATCAGGTTCTCCTTCTTAGTCTTTTTTATTATTTTACATATCAATCGTTTTATTTTGTCGTCAATATTGTTGATAATTACGTCCTATTTTCCGCGCAACTCAGTCGCTTGTTCTGTTAACGTCCCAACAATGACGAACGACGACCGAGAAAAGAAAAAAGAATGTACTTTTGCGTTAACTTTTCTCTTCAAATACTTTTAATAACTTCTTACAGGCGCAAACCTTAACCAATATATATATTGTGTGTGTGTGTGTATAAAGTAAAGGTTATTTATGTAAAAGTGCTTTTCTACAATACTCATATTTCTTTAAGTAACATTTAACATAACTACCAGCTGTTACGATGGCTTGTTCTGAAGAATCCAATGAATACTGGAGCTATGATGATCCATCCGAATGGCCAAAACATTTTCCATGTGCTGGTGGATCGTCTCAATCTCCAATCGACATCAACTCAAGTGATGTTGTGTTCGATTCGTATCCGTTGTTCACGTTTTCTTCAAAGTATAACTCCAATGAATTGTTTACATTAACTAATAATGGCCATCAAGTTGCAGCTACATTGGCTCAACGTACTTATGGTCAAAGCGACGATGATTTATGGTTTACTGGCGGTGGTTTAGACGGACAGTTCTTCTTCGTCAATTTTCATTTACATTGGGGAAGAAATGATCGTCATGGATCAGAACACGAAATCGATGGACAACGCTTTCCTGCTGAAGCACATTTTGTTTTCAAAAATCGTCAGAATAATCAATTAGCTGTATTTGCATATCATTTCGTTATTGCTGATCAATGGGATGAGGAAAATGCAGAATGGGAAAAGTATGCAGATGCGGCAAGTGAACTCGTCAATGTCNGTAAAGTACTTATATAACCATTATAACTCGAAGCAACTATCAAATCCAATTGATTATCATTATTAAAGTCTCCTGATATTATATACGATGGATAATAAATAGTAGAAGTTTGAATTAGATTATGGAAGACTCCATCCCCTTGACCAAATAATATATAAACAGAACTATCACCTTGACCAGCGATTGCCAGATCCACTATAGTGTCACTATCAAAATCACCGGTTATCAGCAACGATGGTGAATATCCAACATTATATTTCACTGTATCTTGAAAACTTCCATTTGTAGAACCAATTAAAACGGAAATACAATTATCATTGATATTACTAAATGCTAAATCCAATATGTTATCTTTATTAAAATCAGCTACTACTACTGACGAGGCAACAAGATCAATGTCCAAATTTTTCATACTGGAAAATGTTCCATCTCCTTTGCCAAACAATATTCTAGCGAAGGTATCATATTGATTAATGACTAGGACATCTAAGATTTTGTCATAGTTAAAATCTGCTGCTTTGATAAATATTGGAGTATCACCAACGTCATAGTCGTTTAAAATGTTCAGTGCACCTTGTCCATCATTGAGCAGCATACGAACAGTATTGGCACCTCGATCTACGACTACTAAGTCCACATATGTGTCGTTATTAAAGTCACCCGATGCCATTGCTACTGGATTAGTATCGGTTTCACCTATGATAACTTTCAAAATTCCATTTCCATTATTCAGTAGGACACCAACATTATTATCTTTGCTACTAGAAACAATCACATCAGCTTGACTGCTATTTCTAAAGTAACCGACCACTACAGAAGTTGGAGTATGTTGAGTACTGAATTCATTAGCTGCACCAAATAGACTTGTGCATCGAAGAGCTACAAAAAGTAGTAAGGTAAAGAAAGACAAACTTACACATATCATACTTGTTCGTTTCAAATTTGATTTTGTACCAAAAATCACACCAACGACAACACCTACGATTATCAAAGTAGTCAACAAACTGAATGGAAACATCAGTCTCTTTTTTCGATACCAAGAACGCCTTATAAATGGAACATATACAAATGCGAGAAATTAGAATGGAATTTACTGTGTTTTGGGGTAAACATGTGCACCTAAAATAAACAAAACAGAAACAGAGTAACCAAGATATATTGTTTATGAATCAATACCTGGAAACGGTAGTTCAAGAAGTTTTTCTTCTGGTTTGACTTGTTTCAAATGAATGATGTGAAGTTGAGCGGCTGGAGAAAGCTGTGATTGAACAATCATATGAGTACCAGGTAAAAGCAAGATCTCATCTTCAGTGACAAAATGTGAATGAGCTTTGATTGTTCGACCATTGATTGCTTCGACTGAGAAGAGTGTTCGATCACCTTCACTACCCAGATACATGTTATTTTCGAGTACAGTCATCTCTGACGTAGTCGATGAGAATGCCCACCATGTCACTCGTGTGCCTGGGGGAAAGTCATCACTCAAGTTCTTGGTCACACCTCGCCATACTGTCAATGGTGGAACACATGGCAGTTTGACGAGAGCAGTTATAAATAGTTTGAGATATCTGAAGTATGGTAAGAGTTTCTCGCGATCTATATTTTTCAAATGATAATTCACCATTGAATAAAGACTTCGGTGTGGTTTGTCCCATTCGATTGTGTAGAGACGAATGGCAGCACTTTCGTCAACTGATAGTCGGTCGGGTGGTTCGCGGGGTGTTTCATTCAATGCTAATTCGACATAGAATGAGAGATTATGTAGCACATCAGTCAATGGTTCGCAGGCATCAACAAGTGATAAAAGTGGTTCATCAGCATATCCTTCAATAGGATTGATGAATTCACTTTCATCATGAACATGATTATTTTCGAGAACGTTTTCTTTTTTGATATTATCATTATTTGTGTCCAGAATTTGCTGATTTAGGCTCAAATTTATATCATCGAATGGTTCGGAATCAATAGCTTCTGTTGTTTGATTTTGTTGATCCATTTGATGCGATACGGTATTGGATGAAACAGACAGACCGTTGTTTCGTGAATATTGTCGAAAATCATCGGACTGATCATTAAGTTCAGCTGCTGTTAACATGGTTTGTACGCGAATATTTTTGCTTTTCGTATGTTCTCGAAAGTGAGTTGTTTCATTATTAAGATCTGCTGCTGTTAATGCTGTTTGTATACGAACATTTTTTGTCAATCCATTCTGCCGTGATGATGCCATTTCATAGCCGGGTGGAATGTCGATGTAATGATTTGGTATAAAACTGTCTATTTGTCTAATATAATTGTAATATTCCATCTATAATATAGTGTACATTAAAAAGAAGAAAAAGGATATCAGTATAGATATTTCTTTTTCATTTTCATTTTCTCTTAAAGTTAATTATACAGAAGTTATCGATGAAGAGAGGAAGAAAAAATATGCAAAGCATCTCGTAATATACTGAGCAACAAGAAAACAAACATCATCAGAAAAGTCACGCATTTTGGGTATGCAATCGAAATCGTCATAAATATTCACCAACGAGCAATAACATGGACACAGTCATGAATGTCCTTGACTGTGATACTTTAGAAAAATCACGTCATATGAGGAGGATGAGGGTGTGAAGGTGAACATAGGGCAGCCGTGGATGTGGATATGGCGTGCTTGTAGTGAAGACTCCCTCACTCTGATCCGCTTAATTCTGTCGCATTATTCCTGTTGACTTAATATTTCTACTCATCTTTTACCTTATTCTACGCTTTTGCTTTCGGTCTCTATCGTATACATTTTTTTCTTTTCGGCATTTAACACAAAACCGTAGAATAGGATGCCTGATTTACTTATAGATGTAGTGTAAAAGATATTTTTAGACTTTGTTCTGTTCGCTAAACATTCGATTGTGTTTTCTTGACAGTATACAGTTAATAGACACGCCCTTTTATCAATATGACTATATTTGCTTGTCCTGTAATGTTTTCTCGTCAATTTTCATTTACATTGGGGAAGAAATGATCGTCATGGATCAGAACACGAAATCGATGGACAACGCTTTCCTGCTGAAGCACATTTTGTTTTCAAAAATCGTCAGAATAATCAATT